TCACAAGCCAAGAGTCCATTCCACCTCAGGACTCAGCCGCGGGGCACCGATCCGTCGCTGGAAGGGCCTCCGCTGCACCTCTCTTGCCTCTCTCGCGGTGCAACGAGAAGCTCCCCATTCGCGCCCGGTTCTCGAGCGGCTGCACATCCTCCTGTTGAGCCGTCCGCGTGCCTGAGCTGTGAGAGGCCACACGAGCGCACGAACGCTGTATGCTCCTAAGGGCCGTGAGGAGAAGTCCGTGGGGCAGCCGGCCCTTTGGCTCGAGGGGGCCGGCGCATGGCCCCTCGGCTGCCCACGTGCCGCTGTGACTGTTGCAGTGCTGCGGAGTGGGGAGAACGGGGCCAAGGAGATCCGGACTCCAGTCCCTACTCTGCTGGAGCAGGGGCCAGTCCCTGCCCCTCAGCCCAACCTACCTCACAGGGTTGTTGTGAGGATAAAAGACTACCGTGAAGGGGGAGAGGATGTGCACTGCCATAGACCTTGTGGCAAAGGGGAAGGAAGACGTGTAATGAATAAAAAAATACAACGGGTTCGGAAGAAGGCCCCACTGAATTTATCCATCGCAGAGGAGTAGAGTTGGAAGGGGCCGAGAAGACCCCTGGGTCCAACCCCTGCTGAAGCCAAGCATCCCTCTCAGGTGGCTGTTCAGCTGCTCCTGGAAGGCCTCCAGGGTGGGAAAGTCCGAGGGTGATTGGTTCCACTGTCGTGCCGCTCTAGCAGCCAGGAAATTTTTCCTGACGTCCCAGCCAGGAGCTGCCTTCCTGCAACTTGAGCCCGTTATTCCGTGCCCTGCACTCTGGGACGATCGAGAGGAGATCCGGGCCATCCCCTTCCGGACAGCCTTTCAAGTATTGGAAAAGGGCTGTCAAATATCCCTTCAGTCTTCTCTTCCCAAAGCTAAACATGCCCAATTTATTGGATTTATATCTCGCCTTTTTTTTTTCTTTTAACACGCTCAAAGTGTCTCGGATCCTCCTCCTCCTCCTGCTCTTGGTCTTCTCTACAAAACAACAACCCAGCGAGGGAGGTAAGGCTGAGAAGCTGTGACTGGCCCAGAGTCATGCCGTTGGCTCTATGGCTGGGCAGGGCCTAAATCCTGGATCGCCGGAGTCTCTTAGCCACTCCATCGCACCGGCCCTTTCGTGGTTCCTTCAGTCTCCCATCACAAGGCTTCCCTTCCAGCCCCCGATCGTCTTTGCTGCCCTTTTGCACCTTTCTCGAAGTGTGGTGCCCAGAGCGGGCCGTGCTACCACACCCACTAGGCCACCGCTGCCCAACTCCGTCTCCAAACACCTGCGTGAATGAGGATCAGCTCCATTCTTGGCGTGCTTCAACAAGATCATGTTGGGCTAGGCGTTGCTCGGGCTCCAGCAACGCGCTCCGCCTGCCAGCGCTTCCTCGGTGTCCTCGGCAGGCAGCGAGCGCCAGTCTGCATCCATGATCCAGGCATCCGGAGAGCAAACAGACATTGCTCACGGCCGTCACCCATTGGCTGGCCCCAGCGGTGGTTGTCATGGGGCGGAAGCCCATCTTGCGCTTGAGCAGCGAAGGCATCTGTCCTGTGCAAGATTCAGTCCTTGGACTGGCCAAGAGGCAGGCAAGAGGCGACCTTCTGGAAACGGAGAGCGGGGCCATGGGTTGACGAAAGAGCTCTCGTTTACTCGCTCTTTTGCACCCTTTTAATCGTGCAATAAAGAAATTGTTTGAAAGTGAGATCGAGTCGCTTATTAGCAAAACTTTCCACGGAGATGTTTTCGAAGGAACTTGCCTTTCAACCAGGCACTCGCCAGATGTGCCGCACTACAACTTCCAGCATCCCTGGCCAGTCTGACACACCCGAAGACATCCAGGTGGTGGGAGGCTTTCTAAGGGGGTGCTATGCCCCCATTGATAAAACTTATTTCACACTGATTTGCTTTGCAAACTCAAGAAAAGCGAAAGTGTGCAATTACGTGAGATCAATAAACAGGGCAGTCACAAGACCAATGAAAACAGTGGTGTGAAAAGTCCAGTTTCATCCTTTAAAATACAGCATTTTGGGAACATAAAAAACATGTTCCTGGCCAGAGGAACTCCATTCAGCGAGCGGTTCCTACCATGTTCTTTCAGCATTGAAAATTTAAGCCATCGCCGTGTTGGCAGGAATCAAATTGTCTTAGTCAGACACCGAAAAGACCCCAAAGTGGGTGCCAAGCAGGTCTCGGTGGGGTGGGAATTCCGTAACGGGGCTCTGAAGAGGACCTTTGTGGAAGATGCTAGAATTCAACTCAAGGCAGGGCTTGGGGCGTAAGCTCCAGTGCCTCGAAGCAGGAAACGAACCTGTATGGATCTCTCGGAACTGGCAAAAAGGCTCGGCAGACACTCCCGTCCTCAAAAAATCCTGGCCCTGACACTTTGGACCATCTCCAAGGGTCGCCTCGCACCCTTTGCATCCCTGCCCAGGAGGGGAACGACCCTTTCCTAAACCAGACTTCCCCGACCGACCGGCTGTGCTCCAGATGTGTTGCCGTGCTGGGGATGCTGGGAGCCGCAGCCCAACACACCTGCGGCGCAGCAGATCGGGAAAGGTTCCCGGGGTCGTCTCCTGCCAAGTGGGCCTCCGGGCAGGCTCTGTGGCCGGGTGCCCACTCCGTCACCAGCCCGGCCTTCCCCTGCTCCGCCGCGATGCCGTTCGGGCGGCCACTTCCTCCGAGGGCCATTCAGCAGCTGGCCAGGATGACGAAAAGGAGCCATGCCACAGCTTCAAAGGCCTGCTTTCTTTTGGAGATTTATGGCGGTCTGCAGAGGCGCTGGGATCCGGTAATTGCCTCAGCCCAGGACCGAGGCCCCACAGGACAAAAGGCAGGGGCAGCGCGAGCATCTCTTTCCTGGGGAGGGAACGCTGCCCCCGCCGGGGCTGAATGGAGGGAGGCTGAAAAGAGAACATCTCCCTTGAGGAAGAAAACGATGTTCTGACCACGGGGTGGGGGTGGGGGGACGGATGGGACGCCGCTCAAGAGCCGGCTGTTTGACTCTCCGGCTTGGCTTTGAGCTGCTATTGAATAAATCACAAAAGCCCTTTGTGGGAAAGACAGAATTGGGGAAGAAATAATCCGACGACGTCTTACGCTTGTTCACATGTTTGGAAGCCTTGTGTAGCCAGTGTGTTTGTTCTTTAATCACATCTCTCCTCTGGAACTGAAACACTCAAGGGAGACCATTTTCACACTTCGGGGCAAAATGGAAGTCTTGTTAAAATCCAGGGTCCACTCTTCTATTAATGACTGGCGCTGACACGGCTTTTGTTGATGGGGGACAGTGCAGGCCTTCTCAGCACCCCCTTTTTCTGGGGAGGGAAGGGAAACAGTGCTGGAACTTGGCAATCACATCTCCCGATGCTTTACAGTCGTGCAAACGGCCATTTCAAAAGTGGGGTGCGACCACACACAGGGTCCAGCTAACACGTCTTGAATGCATGCAGCGTCGTGCAGGGGGTGCCCGGGACCGAGATGGGAGTTTTTGTGTCTCTCCTCCGCTGTGAATGAGTCAAAGAAAAGTATGTGCCCAGTTCTTTGGCTTTCAACCTGAACCCTTGTTGGGAAGGGAAATTCCGGTTCGCCCTTTTCTCTCACTTTGCTCCATCCAGGCTTTGAGTAATCACCTATTACCCTCAGCCAAACCGCCTCCTTCCTTGCAGCCCTGCGATCTGGCTGGAGAACAGGGTTAGGGCAGGTCAGAGAACTTTGTCCCAAAATCAAATTTCCACGTCCAGCTTTCTTCCTGAACTGTAGCGATGTGTGGCGGTTTCTTCCTCGCTTGCGGTGGGGCTGGCACAAACGGCCAGCATGCTGCAAAGGACCCCCAGCCCCCTCCAGGGTGGGCAGCAGGCATATATTCTCCGGTTTCTGCCTCTTGCCACGGGAAAAGCTTCTGCGGCCGCTGGGAAAGCCAGACCTGTGCCCAGGCCTGGACACCACAGCCAACCTCACCCGGGGATGGAGCGGGGGGCTGGAGTGTCCCCCAGAGCAGCTTTTTAGCCCCAAAGGGGGGATCAAGATGCCCCCTGCACCCAGCTGGGCGCCCGGAAGGAAAGCACCCCACTTGGGGTGTGCCACTCCTGGGAGGGAGGCCATGCCCCCTTCCAGCCCGCGTCTCCGGCGACGCTTCCGGCTCGCAGCCCAGCCCCCTTCCCAGGTTCCAGAAGCCTCCCCAGACCGAGCCGAGGCACCCGACTGGGGCGACGTGCTGCTGATTCGGGGGGCTTGCAGTCACCCCCAGCCTGGGCCTGCGGGGAAGGGGAGGGCGCCCTCCCTCCCCGAGACCATTTCCCGCCGCCTCGCCTCGCCTCTGCCCGCCTTTCCTGGCTCTTTCCTCCGAGGGGGCGCCCGCAGCCGGGCCGAGCGGGCCTGGGAACGGGCTGCGCCCCCCGCGCCCCCCGCCCGCTTGGGTGAGTCATCGCGGGGCCCCGCCGCGCCTGGGCCCGCGCCCAGGGAGACAGCGGCGCTCTTGTGCCTGGCCGCAGCCTCTCCGCTTCGCCTCTCCCTGCTCCCTTTGGGCAGCTTGCCGGTCGCTGGCGGGGCGGGAGGGGGCAGGAGAGCGCGCCGGCCGGGGCGGGGGCGGCGGGGAGAAGCGGGGGCCGCGCCGGCCCCTCCCGGGCGCCCGTCGAGCCACTCGCAGCCCGGCGCGCCGCTGCCTCCCGCGGCTCCCTCGACGGCTGCTGGCGCGCCGCGATGCGCGGGGTCGAGCCGGCCGTGCGGCTCCCGGGCCGCCGCCCCGGGGCAGGTGAGGCGAGGGCCGCGCCTCCGGGCGCCTGCGAGGGGCTCCCCGTGCCTCGGCGGCGCGGCGGCGCGGGACGGGGCGATCGCGCAGCGGGCGGCGGCGCATCCGAGCCCCCCGCGCGCTCCGGAGGGGGGGCTGAGCTCTCCATCGCCGCCTCACCGACGGCCCGTCCGCTTCCCGGCGCGCCTGCCCGGCCCTGGAGAGGTTTGCGCGCAGCCGGCGGCTCTGGAGGAGGGCGCAGGATGCGGGAGCGGGCGCCGCGGCCCCGAAGTACTCTGGAGCCCCGGGAACAGCCTGGCCGCCCCGTCTGCCCCGAAGCGCCCGGCAGCGCGGGTGCTGCAGCCGCCCGGCGGGGAGACGCACCCAGCCGCCTCTTCCGTGGCCTCCGGGTGAACGGGCCGGACGCGCCCCTCGCCCCGCAGAGACGGAAAGCCGGCAAGGCGACGGTCGGCATGGTCGGCGGACCGCGGATGCGCGCCTCTTGGCTCCTCTGCCTTCTGGTACGTTGGCCGGACTTGGGGCGGCGTGGCGCGCCCAGCAGCTCTGGGCAGAACCTGCCCGTGGAGCCTCTTACGCGCGAGGGAGAGACGCGGGCCCATCTTCCCTGCAGCCGCGGAAGCGGGATGCCTCCACGGACATTCCCACCAGCTTTCCCCAGACGGTTTTCATTTGCGCCTGGGTTGCTGGGCGAAGAAACGGCTTAGTGATCAAAGCGAGATCAGGTCCGGTATCAGTAAGCGGAAAGCCATGTGCGTTGGGCGACAAGTCCCCGACTTCAGGCACGAACCGATGGGATCTGGCTGGCCGAGAGAGAGAAAGTGGCATTTGGGCGCTCAGTTAAAATGGCAGCCACTGGGGGGAGCACTTGAATTTGGGGTCCTGCACGGAGCAGGGGGCTGGACCCAGTGGCCCCCTTGGGCCCTCCCAGCTCCATTCTTCGAGGATCCTCTGACCTCAACATCCCAAAAGTATACCCAGGTTTGGTGATTCTTGGGTGGCTGTTTCAATTTTTCCCTCCATCAACATGGTTACCAAGCCAGGCGTCCACATATTTTTCCTGGGCTGCCGCTCCCAGTCCCTTTGTTACGAAACTGCTGGTCAATGTGTGGGAATATCCAGGGCATTCCCACGTGGGGGGGAAATGAACACATCGCTAGAGGAGAGCTGCTGGATTGTCAATCCCCCCAAACAGCGGCCAAGCTTCCTTTGCAGGTCAGCCTTCCCCCAAGGAATGCTCTGGGGTTCACCGTGCCGGCTGGGAACCACACAAGGGCGGGTGAGTGTCTTCGTTTGTGAGTGTCTTCGTTTGTGCTCTGACATGCTTAAAGGCAAGCTCCAGCGCTCGCAGGCAGTGAAGGGCACCCTGTGGGATGCAGCACGAACACCCCCGTGGGCCTTCCTTTTTCTGCGATGAGGGGCATTTGCTCCCGGGACCAGAGAGGTCCTTCAGCCGGCCTCCTCCTCCTCCTCCTCCTCCTCCTCCTGGTGGTGGTTCCTGGGATGGAGTGGCACTTCCAAGACCTCTGTGGTGCCCATCTTCCCAGTCTGATAGATCAGACCAGCCATCTATTTTTGTTGGGGACGGCAGAAGGCCGCCCCGTGTGGCAGTGCCGGCTCCCGGGCCACCGCTTTTCTTCCTTGGTCCAGCCACGGAAGCGCACCGTTTGCTCCTGGCTTGGGTGGCAGCTCAGAGCCGCCTGTCACTTTGATGTCCCACAGTGCCCCTGCTGTGACGATGCTCTGGGGCATTCTGGGGAATTCTGAAGGGGGATAGTTCCCCGCTCCAGCCAGGTGGGGTGGCATCGGGCCCCGGCAGCCGCCGGAGCATCCTGGGTGCCGAGCAAGTGGGGTCTCCCGGGACCACGAGCAAGAGCGAGCCATCAGAGGTTTGTCCTGAGGAGGGTGGGCTTTGCAGCAGCCACGCTTTCCCCACACTTCCTGCCTCTTCTGCCTCGTCCCTCCAGGCTCCAGCCCCGTCCCGCTGCTCCTCGAGACGCCGGGGGAGATGTACGAATACGTGTCCACACCCCTGGACTGGTGGCGTGCCGACGCGCACTGCCAGCAGCACTTTGCGCAGCTGCCCTCCGAGGCCCAGAGCGGGGAGCTGGCATCTCTGGGCAGAAAGCTGCCCTCCCACCAAGTCCAGGGGGGCGTGTGGCTGGACGGCGAGGAGGCGTTCCTGCAGAAGCCGAGGCGGAGACGTGAGTGGAGGGGCGAGCAAGCGGGGTGGGGGGGCCCAGTAGGGTGCCTGTTAAGGCCCTGCTGCCCGGGAGGGATGAGGCTGCAGCCCCACAGATATGGCGGGCACCAGGTTGGAAAAGGCTCCGTGGGTCAAGGCTCTCTCTCAAGCACCCGTGCTTTGGCCTGGGTGGAATTGGAACCCGACCCTGTTTGATTGCCGTCCGGCACACGAAGGGCAAAACCGCGCCGGCATCTAACCAACCAATTAATCAACTAACCCAGTGATGGCAAGCGTTTTAGAGGCCGAGTGCCCAAACTGCAACCCCAAACCCAAGCATATATTGCAAAGTGCCAACACTACAACAAAACCTGAAAACTGAGGTTTTAGATTAGAAAAAACACCTCACAGCCAGCCAGTCCAAGGAAATATATGTATATCCTTGGCAGCGCACTGACCAGCCATGCGAAAGCTCGGACGAGTCGCGGCTGATGAGTCGCGGCTGATGTCGTCATTGCCTGGCGCCGCCACTCCTTTCCGAGCGTGCGCATGGCCCCTTAGTGCTGGTACCCGATGCTCAGCTGCTGGGGCGACTTGGCTCTGCCTGCCCACCGTGGGGCACGTGCCGTAGGTTCGCCACCACTGAACTAACCAATTCAATTAGGAGTAACCTTCCCAATTAAGTAACTCACTTAATTGGGCTGGAGCAACTGACGTTGCACTCCAAACAGCCGGGAGCAATTCTCCGTCCTCTTGCAACTTTTATTGGGTTCCTCAGTTGCGTCTGGTTTCTTCTAAAACGCAAACAAGGAAAAGCAGAACCGATAGCAGACAGGGGCTCATGTTGCAATTTCCACCAGCGGGAGATTTCTAAACTCTGTCCATAAACATCCCCACTTGAACCTTCACTTTTACTTTACCTTCCCCTTTCTAAACCCTAAAGCAGTACTTAAGCTACACATAAAATGCAAGCAGTAGAAGATTTCATTGGACCCAGAAATCTTCCTCCACAGGCCAACCTTCCCCACAGCTTGTGGCCCTGCAGTTCAGAACATCTGGAAAGCAACGTATCGTGTGTGTGTTTAAAGAAAAGAATCATGATTTTTAAGAGCCCCCTGATTATTGGCACTGATCAGAAGTTGTCTGATCGATGCTAATAATTTTGCCCAGGTGTGTCAGGTTTGTCAAAAGTTGCCGCAGCGGCATCGTGATCATTCTTATCCATCCATCGATGAATCCCAACATCCCGCCCGTCGACCTGCAAGGAATCCAGCACGGCTCCCAGAACCCTCCCCATTATATCCTCATGACTCCCCTGTGCAGCAGGTCACGGCTGGCTTTTGCATATGGACGGCTGGAGGGTGCCATTTTGGTTTTTGCTTCTGCTTCTCCTGCCCCTCCCTGGCACCGAGGCCCCTCTCCACCTCTCTCCCCAGGAAGCCACCCGGCGCTGGTCCTGGCATTCCAGGACAAAACAGACACGAAGTTCGCGAAGGTGCGAGCCAGCTTCCCGGCACTGCCCGCGCTGAGCGCCTGCGCCCACGTGCAGTGGGACCCCGGAGCCGCGGAGGTCTCCACCGTCTTCTCCTACGCGGTCCCGGCCTTCATCAACGAGTTCCAGCTGCGGGGCTTCGTGGACGAGGAGGGCTTCGTGCGCTTTGCCGTCATCCTGCACGGGCATCACTCCCCGTACCTGCCGGTGTTCCGGGCAGATGGGCGGTGGCACCATTTCTGCGTCACGTGGCAGGAGCACGGCGGGGCGTGGGCCGTGTTCGCCGACGGGAAGCGGAGGGCCGCTGCCACGGGGCTCCTGGCCTCCCGGGCCATTGGCGGCCGCGGGACCTTCATCATCGGGCAAGACCAGGACTCCCTGGGCGGCACCTTCAAGAAGAAAGAGTCTTTCAGCGGGAACCTCACGGGGCTGCACCTCTGGCGGAGGGTGCTCAGCAGAGGGCAGGTGGAAGGGGTCCGCTCCTGCGTCCCCGTGGTGGAGGGGCTCTTGTTCGCTTGGGACAGCAGCATCCTGGAAGTGGAGCCCAGCCTCCTGCAGGCCACCGTGCAGCTCACCTGCCCAGGTAAGACTCTCTCGGGCTGGGACTACTCCAGTCCTTCCCTTTTTGACTTTCATTTCCTTTTTGACTCTGCAATTCTCCCTGGGGGTCCACAGCTCCCATCCAGCACTGCCTGGATTTGTGCTGCTGCAAACCAGGCTTCGCGTTACTCCTGGCCCCTCTTTCTGCCCCTTGGGCATTTCTGAAGGATGCAGGGTGTCACGGCTCACAGACGGGGGCTCAAGAGCCTGGTTTTGGCACAGGCAAGAAGTGAACGACGGGGCCGGAGACCGTGGGCGCTTGGCCGCGGTTCAGATTCCCATGCGACTGCCTGCTTTCCTCTCTAAAGATCCACAGAGACTTTTTGCCCGTGTGCTCCCACAGGGCCTGTGGAAGAATGCCGCGTTTTTACGCCCACCCGTGGGGGCCCCGCAGATGCTTCCTGCTCGCAGGAGCGGCCTTTTCTGTGCCGCTACAAGAAAGGTACGGTGGTCCCAGCTTGATCCATTTCAGCTTTGCTCGAAGAGCCCCTCCCGGGATGTTCTCACCTTTGGGCTCGGACTCCGATGCCCACCTTCCCCGGGAGGGCACTCCCTAGGGGTGCTGGGCTTCATCCGAGCCTCGCCAGCTCTTCCGTTGTTTGGAATCCACCTTGGACCTCCTCGCATTCAGTGGCTGCTCCTTCAGGGTCCTACCCTGAGGCCTGTTTTTAGTGAACCTAACGCGGGAGCCGGCATTGCTGGCGTGGACGTGGGCTGGGCCGGCAGCCACGGCTCCCGGGGTGCACCACACTGAGCACCGCTGCTCCCGCGCAAGTGCCGGCCCCCCTGCGAAGCTGCGCTGGCACGCCGGCCCTTCTCCTCCCCAGATCTGTACTTCCAGCTGAAGGAAAGGCAGTCAAGATCCGTCCCGCCGCTCGCCGCTCGGGTTAACACGCTGGCCAACGCGACGGTGGTGAGTCTGCAGATGGCACGTTCTCTGTCAGCCTGGGGGCCGGATTCCGTTTTGGAAACATTCCTGGGGGGCAGCTTTTAACCCGTTACTGAGGTCCAGCGACTTGCCAGCGTTCCACTGAGGCTCCGCGGCCTCCCCGTGCCCCTTTGTGAAGCGGGTCTGTCTGTGGCTGGGGATCAAGCCGAGTGGAAGGAAGACCCCTGAGCCAGCGCCCGAAAGGCATCTCTCAGCCAGAGCACGGTGGGAACTTGCGTGAGAACAGAGGCTCAGGGCGTGTGTCCCGGGGCACGGATTTCTCAGGCTGGGCACGAAGCTCCAGGCTGCAGCGCAGAGCGCCTGGTTTAAGCAACACCCAGGGGCTTGTCGGGGTGAAGCAGGAGGCCGTTGGCTGCCAAGGAGCCAGACCCTTCGCAGCTCACGCTGGCCGGCTGCCCCCTTCCTGCCTGCCTCATTCCCCCCACCCCCAGTTTCTTCTCTCCCCGGCTCCATGGCTGGCTTGGGCACGTCCCCAAGCAGCCAGGCCTTCTCAGCTCGAGCTCTGCAACCTGGAGGCACAAATCACTCTGCGGGGTGATGAAAGCAGCAGAGAATGAGCCGATGCGGGCTGCCTTGGATGGCCCTTGCTCTGCTGATGGCACCCCTGCTTCATTCTCCGTCGCTTGGCTCCCTGATGCACGTGGGCACAAGCACACACACACGCAGCCCGACGCAACTCCTCCGCCCCTCAGACCCGCGAGTCCTTTTACCTGCTGCAGATTCCTGAGAGCGTCTTCCAGGCAGAAGTCCAAGCCATCAACATTTCGGCAGCCAGCGATTATCTGGGGGTGGTGGAGGCGGTTCTCTCTGAGGTGGAGCCTCCCCAGCTGGACGCAGCTGCCCTCCTCGGAGTCTACCAGCTGCTGAAAAAGGTCTCGGACGTGGAAGCGGACACGCCGGAGCAACTGCCAGCGCTGGAGCAGCTGGGCCAGAGCTTCGTGCAGGTCGCGGGCATCCTTCTGGAGGAAGAGAACGCCGAGGAGTGGGCTGAGATAAAACCGGTAAAGCACAGGAGCGTAGCTTTGGAGCAGGCCTAGAGAGCCATTTCTTTGCCTCTGGAAAGGGACCCCCCCACACACACACACATCATTGTGGGAACTGGAGCTTCCCAAGTGAACAACAGCCTTGGCTTGGCCTGGGAGCTGGACTACAGCGAGTCCAGCCTTGGTCCTTTTCGTCTGGTGCCTGCGCCTCTCTGGCATTTCCGGCAGGAATTTCCCCAGCCCTCCTCCATCTGGGCGCCTTCTGTGGACAAAGCAGGGGCACCACTGAGGAGCAATGGTCCTCCAAAATAAAACGAGGCGCCAGTCCTCAGCGCTCTGAAGAAAGGGCTAAATGAAGCAGGAAAGCAGAACTTTCAGGACTCAGACCATCTGTCTAAGTCAACTTAGAACTGCGGGGTTTGAGGCAGAAGCTGTTCCGGCCATACCTGGAGAGGCCACCATTGAACCCGGAGCCCCTGCAGGCAAGGCAGATGGGGCTCGAGAGCCTGGTTTTGGCACATGCAAACAGTGAACGACGGGGCCGGAGACCGTGGGCGCTTGGCCGCGGGTCAGATTCCCATGCGACTCCCTGCTTTCCTCTCTCAGGATCCACAGAGAGTTTTTTGCCCGTGTGCTCCCACAGGGCCTGTGGAAGAATGCCGTGTTTTTACGGCCACCCGTGGGAGCCTCTGTTCTGTCCGTGGGAGAGGGAACGTGGCACATGTGGCACAGACGCCTGTGGATGTGTTTTCCCGTGCGGGCGGGCTGCGGGCGGTGTGTCCTGACCCTTCCCTCTGCTCGTGCCACCCCCCCCCAGATCACCGGCGGACCCATGAAGCTTGTGGAAAACATAGACAGGATGGCCAGCAACCTGCACCAGCTCCTCAGCGCCGATCGCCCGAAAGTTTCCATCCAGAGCAAGAACGTCGGTGAGTTGGGGCAACCCCTGAACTCGGCCGGGATGGCAGAGGAGTTCCCAGGGGGCTGAAAGGAGTTCAGATGTCTGTGAATCCGGGCTGTGAATTCTGCAGCGGATCACGCAGAGTGGAGACTGCGTTTCGACTTTTGAGGGGGGATCTGCGAGATTTCTGCAAAGATTTGCGAGATTTGCAAACGCAACTGCACGTTTGCAAGCGTTCCTGGTGCAAGAAAATCTCATTCTGTCGGTGGACAGAAAACGGAACGCAGGACGGCTGACCCTCTGCAAAGCACAGTTGGAATGGATTTAGCAAGATCTATATGTCCTTCTGCGTGATATAGCCCAAGTCGCGGACCTATTTGCAAGGTCGTGTGTGGGGTGTTTAGTTCCTCATTCCATCTCTGGGACAGGACAGGTGGCCACATTTCCTCACTGCTTCGCCCGGCGAGGCAAGCTGGGCCGCGAGTGCCAGGTCAGCGCTCCACAGGTCAGAAGTGGGCAACTGGACAACCTGGCACCTGTTCGAACACCTGGGATGGGTGTCATTGCAAGATGCAGCCACTAGAGGGCACCGTGGGAACACAGTTCTCCTTCGGAGCAGGCGGCTCTGCCCTGGCTGGTTGGCAAGCGCTTTCGCCTCTGTGGCAACAACAGGGATTCGGAGCAGAGCAAGAGGAAACCCACCCATGCAGAGCAGCGGGCAGAGACCAGCCTGGGACGCGGGAGGCGATCTTGGAGTCCCTGCGTGGCCAAGGGCTCACCGGGGCCAGGCAGAAACTCTCAGCCTAACTTCGGAAGGGAGGAGGCGAGCCACGCTGGGCTTCTTGCAGGAGGGGGACGGGTGGGGGCGGAAGGGCATCCCACCACAGCCAAGCACGCCCTGCAGCTTTCCCAGCAAAAGAGGGGCTTCTCCAGGCAAGTGTCCCTGCTCTTTGCCCTCCAGGGGTTGAAGTTCGGCGCGTGGAGCTCAGCACCCTGGCGGCCGGCAGCGCTGCGTACATGATGCGGGCCCAGCACCAAGACACCCCAGACCAGATTGAGGTTCCAGCCGAGGAAGTAGAGAGGCTGAGAGTGAGAGGTGGGTGGCGCATGATCCTGTGCCCCCGCTTGGCCCCATCCCCTCCCAAGCAAAGCTGCAGCCCCTCTCCTGCTCTGGGGAGACCAAGGGGCAGGGCGAGGCAGCAGCCTCAGGCAGCTGAGCAGCCGGGGTGGCAGCGTCCGGGGCGGGGGCGGCTGACCGGCAGACTGGAGCACCAGGGCCCGGCAAGCGGGTCAGAGCACGGGGACACTCACGCCACCCGAAGGTCAGAGCCGGGGGTCGCAACACCAGGCAGTCAGCGTGGTCCGACTAGGTGGGCAGCAGGAAACCAGGAAGACGCTAAGGGCACAGGTACCTTGAGGGCTGGAGCAAGGTCACAGGCGGGGCGTGCCAGGCCGGGCCCCAGGGGCAAATTCCAGGAATCCACACACCAGGCGCTCTTCAGCCAGGCAGCTTCTGGAGAGCAGCCAGTTCTTCTACAGCTCTTCCCCCAGGGATCCCAGGTGGAGCTCATGATAGCCCAGGAAGCTGCCGCAGGCTGGGGCAGTGATCCTGCAACTACAGGGCTGCCGTGCTGCCCTTAACCAGCAGAGGGAGCCCTGAAGCTGCCTCGGCGCCTCACACAGGGCTGCCCGTGCCGCGCAGCCACCTGAGTCCACCAGGCCAGCCGGCCGTGGCCCATCTCCCACCGGGATGTGACTTCTCCAGGCGGGGTAAAGCGAGCGGCCATCTCGGCCCTCCCCTGTCGGCCGAGTGGCGTGGGAAGAACTTGCGCGGTCTCCCCCTTTCTCCAGGCCTGCACCAAGTCACGGTGACGAACACCTGGTACAGATACGGCTCGCTTCAGCGCCTCCTCACTGCCGACCGGGCCGTGTCTGAGGACGCCGCTGTCTCGGACGGAGGCATGAGGTAGGAGCCCACGAAGCCGGGGCCCTGAAGCCTCCGCCGCCTTTCCTACCTTCTCGGGCTGGTTCCCCACTTGCCAGGGCTTTCTCCGCTCCCGAGGCTTCAGTTCCTCACCAGGTTAGGGGGGAAGTGATTTTGAGGGGTCCGCCAAGTGGGGGGCATGTAGGAAGCGGCGATGTGGACTTGCGGACAGCTTGCCAAAGGGCTAAGAATGCCGCTCGGATGGGTGGAAGGGTGGGTTGCATCCTGGTACGGCCTCCCTGAGGCAAAACGTAAAAAAACCCATCAAAAGAAGAAATCTAGTACAAACAACATGAACAATCGCGGCAGCCTCTCCAAAGGCCCAGCTGGGAAGGCGCACGCGGACCTTTCCACAGGGTGTGCTGGACTGGCCACGACTCCGGCTGCAGGGTCTGGAAGCAGCACGCGACACCCCCCCCCCCATAAAAGCCAAAACCGGTAACTGGACATGAGCCAGGCACGAAATTAGCAGCAGGCAGGGGCTGCCCCAGAGCGCCGTTCTGCGGTTCAGCACCACGTGGCGCTGCAGCCTTGTGCCCTGGCGGAGAAGTGCCACATGGGTGCCTTGGGTGCCTCTTGCAAAAACCGCTCAGGGTGACTTACCACATAAGCAAAACAGACAACTGGAGAGCCACACTGGAGAGGCAGCGTGGCGTAGTGGTTAAGGGCATGGGACTGGGACTCAGAGGATCCGGATTCAAGTCTCCGCTCGGCCATGCAGCCAGCTGGGTGACTTTGGGCCAGTCACAGACTCTCAGCCCAGCCTACCTCACAGGGTTGTTGTTGTGGGGACAAGATGGAGGAGGAGATGTAAGCTGCCTTGAGCCCTTTGTAGGACAAAGGCAGGATAGAAATTGGGGCGGGGAAGTCTCTGCTAAAATATCTTGCGCACAGGCGTGAGCTCAGGAAATATCCAGGGGGATAAAACGATTCAACCGATTATGAGGAAACACCAAGACATACACCAGGATCGCTGAAGGACCGCCTGCCCCCGAACGTAGCTGCCAGGTCCCAAAGCTCAGGCGTGGAGGCCTTCAAAAAGAGGCGCTTTCCCAGTGCGCCCAGCAACAACAATTTAATTTTCCAGATGTTCTTACAACTGTTTTTATTCTGTTTAATTTTAAAGTTATTCAATTTTATATAGTCCTACTGTTTGTAGCTTATATAGTTTTAACCCATCACCCTTAACTCTCAGCTGTGGGTTGTCGGTGTAGATCTTCGTGTATACTGTTAGTGTTTCTGCATATGTCTGTTTTCTTCTCGTCACTTTATCGCTATATTGTGTTTTTATCCCGTTTCACTGTTATTGTTGTGCTGCCATAATCCACTTAGAGACTCTGATGGGACGAGTTGTGGAGAATATAAGTTTAAGAAATAATAAGTAAGGTCCCAGCATCCATTGCCTGGGAATATTGGGCACTCTGAGCCTGGCAACATCGGTGCCAGGCTGGCCTCTCCGGGGGGATCGTTCCGCAGGTGCAAGGGGCCAGCACCAAAGAAGCCCTACCTCAGAAGTGAAGCAGAGTCCATCGGGCACATCGGCCCGATTCTTTTGAACGGTGGGGCTGCGATCAGCGTGGGTGGGGAGCCCCCTCCGTCCACCAAGATGCCCCACCCCCGTTTTGCCAGGTCTGTACCCCCCATGCCATTCCCGCCCCAGCCCCCTCTGGCTGAGCTCCTTGCATGCCGATCTCTGCCAGGTACCTGAGCACCCAGGTGGGCTCCTCCCTCATCTCCTCCACTCTGGTCAGCGACTACGAGGAAGTCAGCACCGCCGTGCGCTACCGGCTCCGGCACCGGGCTCAGGTGAGGCCGCTGCACGGGGGCTTTGGGGATGAGTGAGGGGGGCCCTCCCTCAAAGCAGACCCCCTGACCGTGGGGGCTAGGCGCCCCCGTGGCCGCTCTCCAGGCCACGGCTCCTGGCTCTCCAGGGGCCCGTCCAGCCCGCGTGTTGGGAGCACGGTGCCTGGAGAGGGGACTGCAGCACGTGTCAGACGCCCAGTGGCCGGAGGAAGGTGGATCCGGGCAGCCGGACCCGGCGGGTGGCCTGGGGCAGAGGGAGCTTTCCCGGGAGCGGGACGGTCTGTGCAGGCCCAGGCAGCGCCCCCTGGCAGCGCCTTCTGGCGGCGGCGAACCCTCCCTGTGCCTCTTGCGGCTGCCCCCAGGCTTTTCCGGACCAGCTCGCGGAGCCCGTGTGCGCCTTCTGGAACTTCAGCCGAAGGTAGGTGGTCCGCAGGCAGCTCCACACCCTGGCGGTGGCTCGGGAAGGGACAGAAAGCTGCGCCGCGCCTGGCACCCGGCTCGCGGGCGGGGAGCCGTGGCGCTTGCGGGCGCGAGGGGGCGATGTGTCTGGAGAAGCCCTCTTCTGCAGAGTCCAAGCCCTCTTGCACGACAGCTCCCATCATCCCCGCCTGCACTGGAGGGCCCAGAGCGGCCTTCCCCAGCTGGGGACCCTCAGGACGGGCTGTGCCCACGGGCTCTCCTTTCTGCCCCCACGTCGGCGTAGCCCCGAAGGAGCGGGGGGCTGGTCCACCACCGGCTGCGGGGCCCTCGCCTCCCACGCGGACATCATGCTCTGCGCCTGCAACCACACGACCAACTTCGCGGTGCTCCTGCAGCTGTACGAGGTGCAGGTGAGGCGGCAGCCCCCGGGTGGGGTGGGGGGCACGAGCACGGGGGGGCTGCAGCGCTGGGGTGCCCCTTCTCCGCCGGGGCTGGGGCAAGAGCGGGCAGGGCCGGCCCTCTCTTTCTTTCCCTGCCCCTCCACCGTGGATCCCTCACGGGGCCAGGGGCCAGCCCCCGGATGCCCCCCAGCAAGCTCTCCCCCTGTCCGGAGCAGCGGAGTGCAGAAGAGGAGGCCACCCTGAAGACCCTCACCTTCGTGGGCTGCGGCGTGTCCTTCTGCGCCCTGATCGTCACGCTCGTCCTCTTCCTGGCCATCGGGTGAGCTGGAGAGGGCAGGGTCCCCGGAGCAGTGGCCTGGAGCTCATCTTCCGAGGCCGGGCCGGCAGGGCGAGGGTGCCGGGGCCTCCCCGGGGCCAGGGGCTTGCGGGGTTCGTGCTGCTCAGCGCCAGACGCACCCTCTGCGGCTGCTCCCTGCAGAGCCTCCAGGCTGGGAAGCCGCTGGGTGGGGGGTCGGGGAAGCGGGGCTCCTGCAGGAGCCTCCCAGACCTAAGTGGGTGCTTGCAGTTTCTGCTCTGTGCATGTGCAGAGTTGGGCTTCACAGCCCCTGCCCTCTGGCCATTCCCCCCTGCTGCAGGGTCCCCAAGAGCGAGAGGACCACCGTTCACAAAAACCTCATCTTCGCCTTGGCGGCCGCGGAAGCCTTACTCATGTGCAGCGAACTGGCCAAAACCAACCAGGTAGGCAGGCAGGCGCTGGGGGCGGTTGTGTGAGTCTGGCCCACCGGCCCTCCCGATTCACCTTTTGGGGGTGCCTCGGGGGGCACACCCCCTTCCCTGCCCCCTCTTCCCCCAGCCACACATGACTAGACATCTTCACGGCTTGTGTGCATCTCCCCAGCTCTAAAGGGGAGAGCGGCTTCTCCGAGACACGGACAGCGGCAAACGCGGAGGCTTTTCTGCTAGTTGGAGCCTGGCATTTCCCGCGTGTGCCTGGGCACCAAGGGGCGCCATGGCAGGGCGCTTGGCCTTTCCCTGCAAGACGGTTTGCAGGTCTAAGGCTGGTGTTTTGGCGGGTCAAAAGCCCAGGAAGATCTTACGCTGCGCTTGACCTGTGGGACCAGGACCAGCCCCCAGGGCAGCCCGGCTGGGCCCATGCCAAGGGCCCACAGCCCAGCAGGGGGCCACCCCCAAGTGTCCCCTGCAGATTCCCCTCCCCATCACCATTGCGGCCTGCTTGCTCACCTGCCGCTCGCCCTGGAGAACTTCAGAAAGCCGTTTCCCACCTCCCTGGAAAAATGGATCAGCTTCGGAGACGCAGAAGCGTTTAGAATTCCAGGCAACGCGTTGAGACGTCGTTGCCCAACTATTCCCCGCACACCCCCAAAAAGATGTCTAAAAACGATGATATAAGAACTGTGTTATCGAAAGGCTGCTTTTGTTCTTCTCCTGCTGGATTCTCTTTGCCAGCAGCTGCTCTGAACAATGATACCGCAGTGCTCCAAACCCGAAGGTTTTCCAGCCAAGACCTTCTCCTGACACCTTGCTCACAGAACCTGCCTCGCAGAAGCGGCTGCGATGGCCTGCGTGTTCCGCTTCTCCGCAAACAATCCCAGTATTCTATTTGTCTGCATTTTTGTCTTTTCTCTTTCATGCATTTTATCTTCATACACTTTGCGCTTCTGAAATGCATTCTGTGACAAAGCCGTGTTTCACGGGTCTTCTTACGGTCGTTTGCGTTGGAGTCCATGGTTCCGCACCGCAGAACCGGGAAGACGTACCGCCACACGCGAGACGTTCTCGGGGCAGATCCCCCCCGAGTCTCCGGCGGTTCCCCTGGCTTGGGCATCCCCGGCTCGGCTCCCCAGCGGCCCTCAGGCCTGTTCTCCCCCCGCAGGGCGTCTGCTTCGCAGTCACGGCCTTCTTGCACCTCTTCTTCATGGCGGCTTTCGCGTGGATGCTGGTGGAAGGCCTCCTCCTGTGGAGCAAGGTGGTGGCTGTCAATATGAGCGAGGACCGGCGGATGCGCTTCTACTACGTGACCGGATGGGGTCCGTGTCCCCGGGAGCCGGAGCGAGCGGAGAGCCGCTGGCGCCCTGCCCCGCGTTGCCGCGCCTCACGCTCCCCCGCTGGGGCTTCTGGATCCGTTGCAACGGACCCTTCGCCCCCGTGCCCTCCCCACACCCCGTGCGGCCGCTGGAGCGCCGCCTCATTCCCCCTGGGATTGTGGGGCAGAGGCCGCCCGGAGCCAGAGTCAGTGCAGCCTCCTCCAGAGAGACACGGGCGTGAGGCCCGGCTGCTTGGCCGTGGTAACCCTTGCAAGGGGTGGCGTCACCGAAAAGCAGTGCCTTTGGCTCCCGGAACTCTCCGTGCCCATTAGAAGGTCAAAGAAAACGGACCGGGCCGAGGGGGAAGGCCTTGAACCAGACACGCACCAGCCGTCCCCAGCCTGGGCCTCCCCGCTGGTGTGGGACACACCTCCCATAATCCCCAGCCAGCTGCAGCTCTCCCACTGTTGACAGGAGCATTTTAAGCACCTCGCCTTGTGTGTTCAGTCATGTCAGTGATAACAACAACGGTGCCTCTGAGCATGCGGGGAGCCCCTTCCAACCCCCGTTTCTCTCTCGCAGCCAGAGCGAGCTGACCGGGGCATTGTGGGGGCTGCGTGAGAGGCCCAGACTGGGGGGGCTGCGGCGGGCGAGCGGCGCAAGGTGGCTGGGGATCGTGGGAGTGGGGGCCCGACATGGCCGCCTTCACGGGCCCCTCCCGCTCGCCTCTGCAGGGCTGCCGGTGGTCATCGTCGGCGTGACCTTGGCCACGTCGTTCAACAAGTACGTGGCCGACAACCACTGCTGGCTCAACGTGCAGACGGACATCATCTGGGCCTTCGTGGGCCCCGTCCTGTTCGTCCTGATGGTGAGGCCTCCGTCTCGAGGGGGGAGCCGGGCCCGTGGCGGGAGCCGTGCTGGGTCAGGCAGGCGCTTGGGCGAGGGGGGGGCACCGGCCCACAGAGAAGCCTGAGCCCCCGGAAAGGACCCCCCGGCCGGGGGGGCGCTGCGGAGGTTCCGTGTCCCGGGGGGCAGGGCTGGTCCCCGCCCCCTTTGCACCCCCGGCCGGCCACGCTCGCCCGTCTCCGGGGGCCGGGCTGCAGGGGGAGCGCGGCATGACCCCCGGGCCGATCCCTCGCAGGTGAACACCGTCGTGCTCTTCCGGGTGGTGATGGTGACCGTGTCCAGTGCCCGGCGGCGGTCCAGGATGCTGACCCCCAACAGCAGCCTGGAGAAGCAGATTGGCACCCAGGTCTGGTGAGTCGTGGCAGCGTCGCTGTCGGATGCCCAGGCACTCACGTCCGGGGGGTCCCTGTTCTCCGTCTGCTGGAAGCAACAAGAGCCGGAACGAAAGGTTTCTGGAGGCTGGGCCTCCCGTGAGGCCGAGTGTGGCCATCCCTTTGGACGGCAGATGCCGGGGGGAGGTGGCCGCCCCTTGGCCGGGTTCTGCTCCCAAACCCCCCGCCGCTCCCCCCGCTTGGAGGCCAGAGCCAGGTGTGTCGCTCATGCCTGCTGCTTTAGGCCTGGGGGCCGGGGGAACAGTGTCCCGTTGCTGCCACCAAGCAACTCAAAGTTCAGTCCGCTTTGGCGTCAGAAGCTCCAGGCCCATGGAGGGCCCCTGGCCGCTTCCACCCCGACTCCACGCTCACCTGCAAAGCAGGTGCCAGGAAGGGCTCCCGCCGCCCGCCAACCAGCCTCCCGAAGCCCCGGCTTCACGCGGCTCCTCGGAAATGCCGGCCGTGCCTCCATTCTGCCCCATCCTTCTTTCGATCCTTCCTGCCCCGTCATGAGCCCTTTTCCAAAACTCTGATAAGGCCACGAGGCTGGAAATCGCTTGTTGCTGTTCAGACTGGCGCCGGCTGGCAACCCTCAGACACACGCTGTTCCCGGGGCTGCATAAATAAATGCGGCTTGACGGCAGGCCGGCAGCGGAGAGGGCAGGTTGACACCTCTGGGGCGGGGAGGGGGTCCTTGAGAAGGCCTTTTCCTGACCCGCTGATGTCCCAGACCTTCTCTGGGGCTCGATCTTGTTTGTAAACAGCTGGGCTGGCTTCGGACAAAGCCGAGCAGCGAGGCAAGCTGGCAGACCTCTGGTTTATTTCCAGAAAGCCCTCTTATTTTGGCTTTGAGTCAAAAAAAGAGTCACCGCTTTCCATAACAAAAAGCAAATTCATTTGGCATGCATTCTGCCCCGTCGGGCTGCACAGCCTGGATTTAAGGTGCCCCGATCTTGCGGCAGTGTCCCCCAGTCGTGGGGTGGGGCAGAATCGGGGCGCCTTACCAGGCTGGGGTTGTCGTTACGTATTTTCTGGAGGGGGTTTGAGAATGCCTTTGGGCCGAGCCCCCACACAGACAGCTCTCTGTGTGTGGCAGTTTGGGTTAGTCCCAACAGAACAGAAATCAGACCCCCTCACGGTTAGACAAAAGCCAAATCCCGCGACACGGTCCTGAGGACGGAGCCTGAGCGAAGGAGGGTCTCAGTGCAGGCAAGGTGCAAGCCGGGCAGAAAAGCCCTGGGTCGCCCGACCCACGTCGAATCGACCTTGAGCGAGAGCAGTGCAACTCCGAGACGCAAACACACCCGACTTGGGGTGCAGCCGTGCCTGGCCTGGCCTGAACAGGGGGATTCCTCTCCGGATTTCTCTCCTCATCCTTTTCCAGGGCCACCGCCCGTCCAGTCCTGGTTCTCCTGCCCGTCCTCGGCCTCACCTGGGTGTGTGGGATCCTTGTGCACTTCAGCATCAACTGGGCCTACGTCTTCATCGTCCTGAACTCCCTCCAGGTGAGTCGCCTGGCCCGTGTTGGAACGAGGTGATCGCCCCAAGATTTGATGTGATCTCTTTTGCGCTCGCTCGCGCTCTCTCTCTCTCACACTCGCACACGCACCGGGGCTGACCTCGCACCATTTTTCGGTGGGTCCATCCTGCAGTACAGTTAGGGTGCTGGTGATGAGCTATAGAGCCCTAAACAGCTTGGGTCCTGGGGAGCTGAAGGAGCGCCTCCCTCCCATTTCCCACGGGCTGCTCGGTTTGCGAATGCCCATGGAAGCTGTCAAACAGAGCTGGCTCTGTCCATCTTGCCCTCCCTTCTCCAACCTGGTGCCCTCTGGGTGTTTTGGACTAAGGCTTCCAGCTTTCCTGACCACTGGCTATGCTCGCAGAGCCGACGGGAGAAGTGCAAAACAGCTGGAGGTCACTGGCAGAGGTTCCTTCCTACTGTGGCCGTCTCCAAAGAGGTGCTGCTGCCAGTCCGTGCTGGCAATGCTGGGTTGGATGGCCCACGGGTCTGAGTCAGTAAAAGGCCACCTCGAAGCTTCAGCAGTTTACATGAAGTACTGCAGAAGAGCCAGTATCTGAAAATAATTTTTAAAAGGCAGTTGCTTGAATCCCTACCCTGCTTTCAAAGGCCTCTTGCTGCGGCCAGAAGAGAAACGTTCGGAAAGACTGGGGAGAGAACATCATAAGTCCCAAAAAAGCAGAGTTGGAGCAGAGGCAGGATATCTTCCTGCAGCTTTCGCCAGAGAAGCCCTACCTCCTGGGGGCGGGGGGGAGGGGGGGACACACAGGCTGATATGTCCGGGAACAGCAACAGCTTCCTCCCCGCAACGCGCTCTGCCCCCAAACAAGGCCCAGGTGGGTGTGCGTAGACGAAGGCCAGCCGGGGCCGGGGAGTTGATGGCGCTGCTGATGGCGCTGCCCCCATCTGCCGCGCGCATGATGTCAGCCCCGCCGTGCACGGCCCCCTCCCTCACCCGCGTGGGAGTCGCTCGCGCTGTGGGGGTGCTCACTGCAAGGAGAGCAGCAGCAGCACAGCTCCGGGGAGCAGATACGGGACGCGGGGAGCAAGCCTCTCCTGATCCCGGAGTGAAGGCGGGGCGGGGGGTGTGGAGGCGGGAGGGCGTCAGCCGGGGCTGTCACTGCAGCCCTGCAATGGAGGGTCTGCAGGACGACGAGGGGGAGAGCGCAGCCCGCTCCCCGGCGAGCCCTGAGCACGGCAGGGAGGCAGCGTGTGAGCTCGTGGGAGGGCCGGCAGAGCTGCCAGGAAAACGCTCGCAGCTGGACCGCCCGTCTCCAGGTTGCAGGCTGCAGAGCTTCAGCCAATCTCGGACCCGTTTTCCGAGCAGCTGCGGAATTTTCCACCTCTTGGCCAGCAGGCGTTTAGTCTGAAAGCCATGTGGGGTGCTGCATGGTCCCCGGTGCTGCCGTGGCTTGAGCATCTTTCTCTTCAGCGACTGAAGGCAGGATGATTCTGCAAAGACCGGGCCTCCAGGCTCAGGGATTTATCTCTGAATTAGAGTTTGCACACATGAGTCGGTTGCCAACGTGCCGAGCGGCCACGGAGGGCTGTTGTCTCCAGGTTTTGCTTCTGGGGTCCCCAGAGGGGTCTGGCCAGCTACCAGGTGACGCTTGTGTTGCAGGCAAACCATCACATCTGGGGTGAGACTACCTCCAGCAAAGGTCTGGACTGAGCTGGCCTGCTGGTCCACTTGACCCAGTATAACCCACAGGGCAGCAACGGATTTGGGGTCAGACGCTTTCCCCATCCTACCTGGAGATGCTGCAGGAGGGCAACCTCGAGGTCCTTCTCCAGCGATGCTGGAACTCGCTGGTCAGGCTGCCTTGGCGGCTGCCCCGTGTTCCCTCCCCTCTCGAACCTCCGGCCATTCCTGCCATCTCCAAGTTGCTCTCACTGTATGGAACATAAGAAATTTTTTACCTAATCATCGGTCCTTAGCAATAACCTGCTCAAAATCAATCAGTGCGCTTACTGTCTCCCAGGTTTCATGGCTAAGTAAGAACAGAAATATGCAAAAAAAAAAAAAAAAAATAAATGGCACAGAGATGACCTTTAATTACGTCAAGGGGTTGTCTCTCTTGTTAGCATAGCTTCCTGACACTTGCCAAGCCAAGCGCTGTTCTTTTAAACCACAGGCAAATTCTTCTGTCACAGCATCTGTCTGACTGAATTGTGTCACTATTCCTAGCATATCTGACCTACGTCATCCGAGAATTGGGAATGCAGGGAGGGCACGGGCGCTGTGGCTGGGGAGGGCTGCCGTGGTCTTCCACAGGTTCTGGAAGCTCTCTGGTGGGGAGTGAGGCTGCCCGTGGCCTTCCCTTCCCTGCAGCTGAGTTGCGTCCTCGGTGCCGTGGCGTTTTGCCCATCAGCAGAGGCGTTGGCAGACAGTACCAAGACTCCACGGCCTTTGCCTTCTCCTCCATGTTGGATTTTAGGCAGCAAAGCGGGGAAAGCAGTGGGAAAGCATGGGTAGGAAGCGAAGGGAAGGCCGCGGTGTTTGGCTCACCCTGAGTGGCCGCACCGTAAAAGTCTTGTCTGGAGCGAGGAGTCCGGTGGCCCAAGACAGCATCAAAGGGGCCAATGGACAGCTGTGACCTTGCCGCTGGGAATCGGCACCTCGGTGCTGCCCCTCCACCCCCGGATGAGGCGAGAACCATCTGGCTGCCTCGCCAAGGGCAGGAGCGTGAGCTTGGAGAGCGGGTGAAGGGGACTGGAAGGGAAGGCGATGGGAGAAGCCGAGGCACAGGGCATCTCTTCCAAAGCGCCCCGGCAAGATGGCGGGAGGTGGCGGGAGGAGCCGCTGCTCCAGAGCAGCTCCAGCCTTCCTCCTGCTCTGCCCAAGGTGCCGAGACTCCAAGCTTGGACTTGGAGTGCGCCTGAGACACTCGGCGTCGCTTTGCCCTTTGATGCTGGCGCGTCTTCCCGTTCCCTCTTCCTTCTGGACGTCAGGGTGCCCTTTGGGCCCCTCTTGCATGTTCCGCTGGGGCTTGCGAGGGCCGGGGGGCAGAAGCTAGAGCCGCGGAGGGTTCTCGCTGGTTCGCCTTCCCCCAAATGCCTTTCGCGCTTGAAAAATCACAGCTGCAATTCTCCCTTGCTCACCTCATCCCACAGAGGGCTTGGAAGGAGAACAAAGCAAAGTAAAAGCCAGCCTGTACGATGGGTTGCAATCCAGACCCAGAAACGTTTTCCAGCCCGTCCGTGGTCGCAGAGTCAGGCAGTCTGGGGCAAGCGTCTCCATTTGCAGGGGTCAGGAACATCCAGCCAGGGATTTTCGGAAGCCCCTCCCCTCCACCCGGGCCCCTCTCTCTCCAGCTTTGATTCTTGCTGACTTCCTGGATTTTGCGGAGTTTTTTCTCCCTGTTAAAAGTCTGAATTGCCTCTCCTAAGAGTTTCTCCAAAATTGTATTTGACTCACTGGCTGAAAGAGTTTCCCTGCACATGGTAATCATGCTCTTCGCCCGCTTTGGTGGACGCCCCAGGCTGTCGGCGCCTGGCAAAGCAATGGCAGCGCTCCACAGGGCCGTTCATGGCTCAGCAATATATTTCTGATCCTTCATCTTTTCGCTTTCTTTTTTATTTTATAGGGTCTCTACATATTCCTGGTGTATGCCATCTACAACAGCGAGGTAAGGTCAGCGCCGGCCACTGGGGTGGGAACATTTTCTGCTCTTGCACATTTCTTCTTTAAAAGCTCCATGTTTCTAGCCCTTAAGGCTTTGCAAGTAAGTTTGGATGGGACCTCCCGACACTCATCTGGGAAAGGAGGCAGTCAAGCCCTGAGGCAGCTGCTTTGGGTAGTTGATCCTAAAGAGGAACCAGAATAGATGGGAAACGAGCACAAAGGGAACAGATGCAGGCCAGTATGGGGGGATCTGACCGACGACAGGAGGGGTCCGCCTTGCCCCCCGGCCACCTTCAAATCATAGCTCTGTAGAGGCGTCTTCTCTACGCCCACCTGCCCGTCAGGGCCAGACTCCGGTTGTGCTTGACTTCCAGGTGAGAAGCGCTATCCAGCGAATGAAGGAGAAGAAGAAGGCCCTGTCATTCATGGTAGGTGTGCCGGTCCAGTGCCCATCTTTCGTTTTCATAGAATCATAGAATAGTCGAGTCGGAAGGGGCCGTGAGGCCATCTAGTCCACCCCCTGCTGTTGCAGGACACCAAGTCACACCACCCCACTCAGAGGGCTGTCCAGTTTCTCCTTGAATGCCTCCAGTGTGGGAGAGCCCCCCACCCCCCCAGGCAGCCAGTCCCACCGCCGTGTTGCTCTGACCGTGAGGAAGCTTCTCCTGATGGCCAGCCTGAGTCGGGGTTGTCGCGACCCGACTTGGTTATCCCATGTCCTACGCTCTGGGTCTCTCGTGCCTTTTCTGCCGCTGCGTCTCCAGACCATTTCCGTCCCAGCGCGGCCATGGATTGCGTTGCCTGATCCTCTCAGGGAAGGCCAACTCTCGTCCTAAATGCAGGGATGGGCCACTTGAGACCCTTATGAGCCTTGGCCGACGACTTCCATCATCCCCCACCATTGACTGTGCTGGGTAGGGTGATTGGGCATCGCTATCCAAAGTAGCTGAGGGGCCTTTCAAGCTTTCTCCAAGCAAGCATTGACTTGAGCTTTTGGGGGATTTCCAGAGCTCGCTTGGGGTCCCGTGGTGGGTCTTTGGGACCGGATTTGGGAGTACGGGGACCGTGGGGTTTTCTGAGCATGTGCCACACCCAGTGACAGCCTCTCCATGTGCTAAGAAACCACACGCCTACAACTTGTGAAGGACAGGCCTGGGGCCCATGTCAATCCCCCGTGGGAACAGTTCATCGAATGCGAGGCCATCAGCCCTCCAGTTCCTCAGATGGGAACTCTGTTCCTCTCTTTTCAGGACTGACTCGGTGTGGATCTCACCAAGCAAACTTGGGCTTGGGGACAATCATTTCTGTACCCCCCCGAGCTTGCAGGCTGAACCAGGCGTCCCCAAACGGCACTTGAAAACCGCAGAGCAAAACATGCATGGATTTTCATGGCTTCCCCTGCAGAACATTAAAAAATCCCACCCTTCGGCAAACTCCTAAGGGTTCAAGACAAGGCTTGAGCTACTGCCGTGCGCCTGGGTTTTGGTTTTCTGCAGATCCCCGGGTGCAAGGGAGCTTAGTCCAGGAAAATGAGGACGTTAATAAAGGTGTTCTTCTTCAAGATGCCACGGGCCTCTTTGCTTCTTCCTGGGCAGAGCTGGGCAGCTCCTCTGGAGCCTGTCGCTCTGAGCGATCTCTGGGCTCACCTGACGAGGCCGAGTCAAGTGCCACATGACGAAGGACGGCTAATTTGCGGGGCTGCCGGGCTGTCTGTGCGTGGCGTTCTCTTCCCGCACGGCGTCATTCCGGTTGCTAGGCTGATGCAGCCCCAGTCAAACGTAGAAATCGCACAGCGTTCACGGCAAACTGATTTCGGTGGCTGTATTTTGCATCCAGCCCCTTGGCCATACAAGGAAGCATTCGGGAGCACCGTGTCTAAGGTCACGGCCTGGAGGGACTCCAGGAACGCATAACCTCTGATCACCAGGTGCAGGCGCAGAGCCTGCAGGGTGGCTGTTATTTCTTATTCATTAGTAAATAATAATAAATATTTATTATTTCTTATGCATTAGTAAATAATAAATATTTATTTCTTATTCATTAGTGAATAATAATTTATAATTATTAATCATTAGTAATATAATATAATAATATAATTATTAATCATTAATCATTAGAATAATAATAATCATTAGTGAATAATAATAAGAAATATTTATTATTTCTTATTCGTTAGTAAATAATAGTACATACCTATTATTTCTCATCCATCAGTAAATAATAAATACCTATTATTTCTCATCCATTAGTAAATAATAAATACCTATTATTTCTTATTCATTAATAAACAATAATAAATACTTATTATTTCTTATCCATTGATAAATAATAAATATTTATTATTTATTAAAATCCCATCTTTTTTCCTTTTCAAGTAGTTCAAGGCGACTTACATGATTCTGCTCCTCCTCTTAAGCTTACTCTCACAACAGCCCTGTGAGGTAGGTTAGCCTGAGAGTCAGCGCCTGGCCCAAAGTCCACACCGAGCCTGAGACAGGGCCCGAACCCAAGTCTGCACAGCCAGTCCAACACTCTAACCACTAGGCAACACTGGTCCTTGTCATTTCAGAACTGCTCTCATCCCATCAATTACCTGTCGAGTCCACGGAATACATCCTGGGAGAGGGACAAATTTAACCCTTCCACTCCCGAGAACACGGCCTCGCCCTCCTCAGAGAAGGATGCAGTGGCCAAGAATGTCAACAGCAAGGGTACGTAGAAAGACGCTCGCTCTCTTTTTCTTCTTATTTGTGTCCCAACTAATTCCCAATTAATCTCTTCCTGGCACAGGCAACTTTGGCACCAAAATTCCCATGGGACTTGCCTTGATTATGTCTCCGGAGCGGCCAGTAAGTAGCCACTTCCCACTCAGTGTGTGGCCTGGGTCCATGAAGTTGCCTTAAATTTCCTTCGAAGAGGAAGGACCTGGAAAAGGCCTCTGCCTCTGCTCTCGGGGGGGGGGGGGGGCTGGCATATAGGAAATTAGGAGGGTGGCTACCTGGAGAAGGGACTCTTTGGTGGTGGCTCCCCGACTTTTGGAACACGCTCCCCAGTAAGGTTCGCCTGGTGCATTGCTTTATTCTTTTCGGCATCAGGGGAAGATCTTATTCTCCTAACATTTGAACAGTCAATCGGTTTTATCTTTGATTTTACCATTAACGGTCAGAGGCAGCGTGTTGTTTGTTGTTCGTGGCTGTTTTGCTTTTTGTAAGCTGTTCGGAGATTTTAGTATAGGGCGGCATATAACATTTTAAATAAATAGATGTGGGGACCTGCGCCCTGCCCTTCACCGAGTCGCCCTTACCGCCGTTCCACCACCTGCTGCTATCTCAGGCTGAGTCACCCCTCCCCACCTCCGCTTTCTTTACACCTGTAAGAGTTTTCTTTACACCTGTAGCTTGCATCCATCGCCTCCCCAGGGAAGGACCAAGCCTCCTGCCAAAGGCACTAGAATGCAGGGAGAAGCGTGCCCTGCCTCCAAAACCGGGTGCTCAAGCAAGCGCCATCCCTGCTTCAAGCGCTGCAAGGCTGCTTTTTCTCTCCGAAGCAAAGCCCCGGTCGCCGTCTTCCCAGGAGGGCAAGCAGGGGCATTGTTTCCCTCCCCACCTCGCTCTGCTGTTGGCAACCGCAGCTGACCTCAGAGCCTGAATGAGGTGTTCTGGGAAGTAAGAAATATATATATAGAGAGAGGTTCTTTCTAAAGACGATTACATTTCTGCCACGTTTGTTCCTTGCTATTGAAAAACAGGATTATGCTGTGCTCTCTCCACTTGACATCCAAGGGCACTTCTGCCGCCTTGCAACCAAATAAACAGCACATTGTTTTGTTTTTCATCTGCGGAACAGGCGGGGTATTTCAGGCAAGGGCGCGGGCTGGCTTTGGGTGGCCTGGTTGGCCAGGTGATGAGAGCCGCATGCCGGTCACCTTCTCCCCGGTGAGCACAGGTGTTGGATCAGGGGAGCTGCGTCATTGCTAAGCTACTGGGCACCCAATCTAGTAGGCATGGACTAAAGAGATTAAGTTTCCCGGGAACATCAACACAAACCTGGTGGCTTGAATGCCAAGGACACTCCGCTCGCCTTTCCTGTTGTCGGACCGAAAAAGTGGGAGCAGAAGCGGCGGGTGGCCATGTTGCCATGTTCCAGGAGGGACGGCTCGGGCCCATTCAGCATCTGAAGGAAAAAAATAGCCAGACTTAGTCACGTACATGCAGCCCATTTTCTCCTTTGCCTATTTTGGGATGCAATTCGGTGGATGCTGGCCGCCCGTTCTCCAAATTGTGCCTTCGATGTGCTTTTTCAAATCACAGAGAAAAGCAAAGGGAATTTGAGCATGGGGAACAGGGCCCGGACACCCGCTGGTTCCCAAGCTTTGCTCCCATACTTGCAAGCCTTACACTTTTAAGGGCGAGAAGCCTTTCTTAAACATGAGGACGTGGGTATTTTGGGGACGCTGTATTCCAAACCAAGCCCAACTTCTGCGCAGGGTAGCTATGGGGCTACAAAACGAATAAACAACTCCCCCTTTTAAAATGCCTGTCCATTTTATGGTTTTTTGTGATCTGGCTTCCAACATATGCAATCTGGAAATTTCCCTGGGAAGAAACTGGGACCGAATTGATGATGCAGTTAGCCTCTGGGCTGCACAGAAAAAAAAAAAGCAGGATAAATGAGCCCCCCTCCCTTCTGCCCGTGGGCTCCAAAGACACTAGGACCAACCTTTGAGCTGGTCATGATCTTTTCCTCCAATCAGCTTTTATAAAAGCAATCGTTTGCTCCAATCGAAGGTTATTTTTACCTGACTAGTCCATTTCTACCAGCTTTTCTTGAGATATCAGAAAAGGTAGATATCTTGAGGGCAGGAGCGCCGCTGAAGTTTTTCCCCAAGGACTCTCCAAACCCCGGGAGCCAGTGCTGGCAGAAGCGCCTTGGAAAAAGCCAAGCTGTTCATAAGCCACAACTGGATGTTTCGCACTGCCCGTCGCCGGCCGGACAGGGTGGATGAGGGAGAAACTGAGGCCCTGCTTTGTAGCAAACCTGGACACGTTCCTTGAGAGTGACTAGCTTTTACGCCGGACTTTGGCATCAGTCCTTGGGCCGGTTTGTTTATGACACGCTCTTTTTCGTCTTTCAGGCCGTGCAGCTGACTGCTTTCAAATCTTCAGGTAAGCTTTCCATTCCAAGGGTCCCACATCACCTCTTTCCTGTGCTTTCCCGTCAAGGCGCTTCCGGATTGTCGAACGTTTAACAAACGCTTTAAATTTACCTGGGTGAGATTTTTAAAATGAAGGTATTGGAGAAGCTTTGCAGCACAAAACATTTTCACTCTCTAAGAATGTGGCTGCAGCAAGCGGAATGAGGGCCATGTTTACATCTGTTTTTGTTTTAATAGCCATAAAGTGTGTGTGTGTGGGGGGGACCTTTTGCAGTGTAGGTGGGGGCAAAGCAAAGGACCAGGCCAAAACTACTGAGAGATGGCAGCTGAAAGCCGTTACAGAAAAGAAGCTGCACCTTGAGGATTCCAGCTCCTGGAAAAGATTTTAGGAAGGTGTCCGAGGCTGGCAGGACCCCACTGCCGTCTTGACACCTTCGCCGTGCCGAATGCTTCGGAGTCGCCACGGGGTTCACTCTTTGGGGGATGTGCTTTTGACCAGATTGGAAGTCCCCCGCCGTCATCTGTACCGCTCCAGCTCGGGTCCCCCTTCGCCTTTTCCCTTTTATAGTCCGGTTTGCGGGGGATTGAGCGAGAGAGCAAGCGAACCGAAACTCCTCTGAAAGAGAAAATGGAGCCACAGGTGCTGCGTGCACGCAGGGGTCCCTGACCCGCCGTCGCTTCCATACAACAAGGCCCCATCCTCCCACGTATTGTTCCACGCTTATTAAATAGGGATTTTGTTCCTCCGCTCGTCGTAGGTCTGAATTAATCCCACACATCCTGGGATGAGAAACCTTGTCCTATTCTTTGGAGAGGAGAGTGTGTGCGCTGGGGGTTGCTCACGGAGGCACACCCTTCTCGTGCGTGCATTTACACCTTCTCTCTCCAAGAGCACTGTCCTTTCACAAGCGGATGGAGGCAGAAGCTTGTTCTGCTTCCATCCGTCTCTTTTATCTTGGTCCACACTTCACACAGACATCAAAGACTCTAAGAACCCGGAACATTGAGTCCCTAATACATTGTGGATACAGTCAGTGTTCCCCATCCGCATCTTATTTGCCTCTTCTTTGTATTATGCATGTTTACAAGACACGTCAGGCTGCTCTCTAGGAGGGCAGAGATGGTGCGTTCAAGTAGGGCCATGTCCTAAGCTAAAACTGACCTAATACTTTAATCAAATATCGTTTGCTCTTTGGGTAGAGCCCATTTCCGAGTGCTTTTCCAGTTGCAAAGAGCTGTATGGTACGGTTTGTTTTTCCTCTGTTGTATTTAAGCTTTTGTTATCGTAAGCTCAAGGTGCAATTTCAATGTATCCACAGTCGCAGACGGGGCTCGGTTTGCCACAGCTCTGCCAACAATGGATTTTCAGAATCCTTTTCTGCTGCCTTCCCTATCCGCGGCCCAAGGGGGCGTCCAAGAACAGACCAAACAATGCGCATCCCAAACAAATCCAATTTTCCAAAATGTAACTTCAGGGGTAGGACCTAACCCTCACAGAGAACCAGAGCTGTTGCCTAGACCTCAGGGGGAAATCAGCCTCTGATTTAGAATTGACTTATTCAGCTATTTGCAATCTACGACTCAGTCTGAGATAATCATTTAAAAACAGTACAATTCCTGTTTCATTCCTGGGTATCTGCTCCAGTCATGTAGAGAGAAGCCTCTTATTAAGCCAAGACGGGCGCCACAGAAGGTGTTCGCTGTTTGTTTGAATTGGGAAGACACTTCCCCACCTCACCCCCCCTTCAAACCTTTTTCACCCCCTTCTCTTTTGAAAAAGGCCCAATGCCCCCCCCCCCCCCCCCCCAAACACACAAACACCCTCCTAATGAGTTCCTGGTCGGCTTTATGGAGACATTGATGCGCCGTCAATGTTCATTACATCCCATTATGTGGGCAGGCGAGGCCCCGGGAAAGTGTGCGCGGGGCGGGGGGAGCGACGTTGTCGCATATTTGCACAGACAATGAGGAGCGTCTTTTTCATCTTGGCAAAGAAGGCGATTGCCACGGCCAGCGTCTCCTCAAGTGCCACCACATTGTTTCCCAGTGATAATTTCATTATACACTTTGAATACGCCGTGTATGTTGCTAAGCCTCGCATAGCAACATAGGCCTCCTCGGCTCTGCAGATGGGCGTCTGCGGGACCGGGAGGCGGCCGCCGTTCCGACGAGCCTCAGCCACGCAGGCCAAGCGCCCCCGTCGGCCTGAAAACTGCCCCGCTGGCGCCTTGCTAATGCTCGGCGTGGGCAGTCGATGCTGCCCCGAGAACGGCCGCTTGTGCCGAACGGCGGCCAACCAGAACGTAGCATCTCCTCCCCACCCATGTTCCTCCGCAACCGGGGCACAGGGGCTTGCTGCGTCTGATACAGCAGCTATCACAAAGCCCAGAAGCCACCAAGAGCCTTCTCATCCGTGGACTCGCCCAGTCCCTTTGAAGCTGGCCGATCTGGCGGCCGTCGCTGCAGCTCACGGAAGCGCGTGGCATCTTTTAACCGTGACAAAGCCCTTCCTTCAGTCAGGCTGACTCTCCCTCCCATCGGCACCATAGCAGCATCTGTCAGGTTCCAGCATGGCTTGGGATGATGGGAGTTGTGATCCAGTGGAAAGCTGGTTTAAATCTCGGAGTCGTTGGTGCGGGAAGGGCATGACCTGATATGTTTCTTGTCCTCCCGCAGGTTTATGAAGGGGGCCGTTCTCCGCCCTACGAGGTTCAAGAATGGAAGCACAAGACAGTGGAGGAAAGAGGGGTGCCCAGCTGGCTGGCCTCCCCGCCGCCTCCTCCAGAGAGGGAGTAGATCAGATGGGACCGTCTGCTCCTCACTGGCCGAGCCAGTGGCTTTTGCCCGGTTTCACTCACTTCCATCGCCAAGGCCGGTGTCCTGCTTTCCCTTGGAGCAGGGCAGTCACCGCCAGGTGTGCCCCGTGCCTGGAGAAGACCCCTGGGGTAGCACGAGCCACAGAACCAAAACTCTCCTCCCCAGCAGATCTGCTTTTCAAGCCTGGGGAAAGGCAAGGAGGACGAGGCCTTACCTGGGCAAGGGAGTCCAGAGATGGGCTACCTGTTTCCCTGCCCTTTGAAAAGTGCAGCACAGAAGTCCTGAGACGCAAACCCGCTGAAGGAACCGATCCAGAGCAGATCCTGGTGGGTTTTGCGCAGCTTTGCCACACGTGTCCCGGTCAACGTCTCCAAAGGGTTGTGGAAGGATTTCCTAGCTGAGTCAGTCCGCTTGGATTGGGTTGCGCCTCTCCTGGGGATACCTTTCTCTGGATCTCTCACCTCCCGTCTCTCTTTCTGCTCTCTAGAGCTTTCTGCTCTCCTTTCTCCAGGCCGTGGGCCGCATCCTGCTACCCCCTGAAACCTATCTGTTGAGCCGCATCCCTTTGGATTTAATGTCTCTTTCTTGTCCATTCCTCCTGCAGAGGGATCTCTGCTTCTTTGTCTAAATTCCTGGCAGGCTTTAGAAACTGACCTTAGAGCCTTTAGAATGCAGATTTTGAAAACATCAGTAGTTTAAAAATTATTTAGCCATGCTTCCTGAGCTTTCCTCTGTTTTGTTATGATTCATGATGTTTCGGGAATGTCCTATTGTATTGCTGTGTATTGTCTGGGTGGATTGAATTTATGGACTAGTACGGTGACCCTCCAGAGGTTTTGGCCTACAGTTCCCATCAGCTGTAGCCAGCATAGCCAATGATGAAGGATAATGGGTTTTGTGCACTGTGCATTTCTACCCTGGCTACCTGGGGCTTCCTTTGAAGGAAAGTGGAGGTTATTAAACTGTTGAAATAACCACAATGGGTTTATTATTTTTAAAAATCTTGCCTGCCATTCAAAACTATGCGTTAGCATTCACTTTGATGGATTTTTAAAATGAGAAGGAAGGCCTTTCTATCCTGCAATACCTTCTGCTTTTCAACAAGACTTTCCACACCGTCAGGTTTAATCTCCTTTGGTAATTTGTAAAATGCGATTTGCAAATGGAAACAAGATACTCCTGTGGAAAACTTTGCAAGCAAACTGTATTCAAGAGGTTTGCGGGAAGCCCTTCCTGCCATGGTCTTTGGAAGAAAATCGATTTTAGCCTGCTGTGTGGGGCTGGGGCCTCCACCCCACTGTACTGAGGCTTGGAAAAGGGGCTGTCTGAACCCAGAGTGGCCTTTTGAACCCGGAGCAGTGGAACTGCTGGTCACCGCATGGCCCTTGCCTTCCTTGGCCCTGAACGAGCTTCAGGGAAGGCCCCACCTTCGCAGCAGGTGGCCGTGTGGCTAGGTCGGAGAGTCTTTCCGTCCACTTCTGCACCGCTGCAGATTAGCTCACATGCCCCCCGCAGACGCACATGCCCCCCTTCCTCAGGGGAGGGGATGAGCCTTTGTAAGACCTGGTCCTATGTTGTGGGCGGCCGCGGCGGAGGAAGCCCCTCTGCCGCCACTGCCTTGCCCTCCCCCGGTCCTCAGAGCTGGAGCTGCTGTTTGCGTTCTCCTCTCGCTTCCTCCCGGCTTTGTCCCACGGCGAGGAATGCGCCACCCCCCACACGCAGCTGGACTGCGGCCGGCCGCCTTATCGTGGTGCTCCAGCCCCGGCGGGCTCGCTGCTGGGAGGCAGGTTGGCTGGTCCGTCCGCGGGAGGAGGCACAGCTGGGGCGTGCTTTCTCCTCCGTCTTCTCGGGGGCAGACAGATCCCTCGAAGGCCGTGGTGGACGTGCCCGTGCGTCACGGTGACGTTGGCCAGATGGCTGCCGCTGTGCCACCGCTTCCCGGGCGGGTGCCCAGTCCGCCTCTCCGAGGCCCTTCGGCGCGAGGGACTTGAGCCCTTCTCCGCCATCAGCTGGTTCGAGCTGCCCGCCAGTGGCGGCTGCCCGATCTTCGCCTCGAGTGTTTGGCGAGCGAGCAGACGCTCTCGCCGTCGCCGTCCAGGCTGCTGAGCCACGGAGGACCCGTGAAGACGCCCCTGGGGCAAGCCCACGGCTCGATGCCGGAAGATGGCCTTCGGCGAGGGATGGCGAGGGCTTTGGGGACTCAGGCCCTGGCCGCCAGCACGGAAGGGCCCCCATCACGGGTGCTCAGCCCCGGCCCTGTGAGGGGGCTGGGGGAGGCATCTGTGCTGGGGCAGGGCTCAGGGACCTGGTTCCCGTCCCCCACGCAGCCGCCGGTCGCCAGCTCTCAGCCTAACCAACCTCACAGGGCTGTGAGCACAACAGAGAACTGGCGTGAGCGGCCTTGGATTCCGTGCAGGAGAAAGGTGGGACATAAAGGTAGGCCTGTACTCAGGTGTAACGGTTACTTCCCCGTCTCGCCCCACTCGAGCACCTTCAGGTCATCTGGACCGCAACAGTCATGGCTTCCGATTACCATCAGCCCCAGACAACATGGCCGACCATCAGTGAGGGCAGGGATGGCGGGACAGCTGCTTCCAAGTTAAGGGACAAAGTGCCCACGGCATGAGCTCGTCATGGCGGTGCCTTCCTCTTCTTTTGAACTACAACTCCCATCAACCCCAGCCACCACCCCTGCTGGCTGGCGCTTTTAAGAGCGGAGGCATCCAAAAAGCTGGAAGCCCCCAGCCGGGTCGCCAATCCTTGACCCCGAGCCATCAGCACAGTGGCCGGACCAATCCTGGACGGTCCAGGGAGGGCTGGAGGGGGCCCGGGCAAGCTGAGCAGGTGGGGCTGCACTGCCACAGGCCCTGTTCCAGGTGATGGCTGCACCTGCGCGGAACTGGGACAGATGCACTTGCCCCCTGCTCAGGTAGCAGCGTCGCGACACGTCCTTCCCGCGCGGTTCGCGACGCAGCAAGGACGAAGGGACCGTGTGAAGCCGGAGACGTTAATTAAATCTCACGCTGGTGGGCTGGTGCCTGCAGTTGGCCGTCTGCGTGTCCTCAGAGGATCAGGTGCTGACGTGGCATCAGGTGAATTGGAGGACAGGCCCAGAGTGGGCGCTTTGCTGACAGGAGCTAATAAAGAGGCCATGCCGTGAAGTTGGAGCATCGCTCCCCCAAGCATCTCTCAGACCCGATGCAACAAGGACGGCTTGGCAGCGCTCTCCGCCCCAGCAGGATTGCGCATTTCAGAGCAGCCCTGTGGGTCGAGCCGAAGGCCTGGCCCATCCCGCCCAGATGCCCAGAGCCAATCCCCCCACAGGAGATGTGCCCAGCAGTGCCCCCACCTCCAGCTGCCATGATCTGGCCTCATCCTGGCCACAGCATTGAGCCGTCCGGACAAGTACCCACCACAGCCGTATTCACCACAGCTTTGACCGAATCCACGTGCATCTGCGGCCCCCGCGACTGCTTGCGGAAGCCGGTTCCACTGTCCGTACGCAGGGAGAGACTTCTCTCTCTCTCAGCTCTTCCCACCTTGGGCACCATCTCTGTGTGGCACTCCAGAATCCACAATCCACAATCCTGCACCTGTTTAGACAGAGCAAAAGTCAAGTCCCAGCCACCCGCGGCCCACTGGCCCCACCTCCCCCCCCCCCGCAAAAAATGTGGTAGGACTTTTTTCTATTAAACATACTTAGAATCCCGCTTCACACACGGCCAGTGGGAGAAGAGACCCTCCAGAGGACCTCCAGCCCTTTTGGACTACAAACCCAAAGAGACCTTGTGGGATATGTAGTCCAACAGGCATGGGGGGTGGCACCAGGTAAGTCTCGGTTCTGTTCCGTTGTGTTTTCCTTTCCCCAGCCCTGCCTGGACTAGTACTGGGGTTTCATGCAGCCATGTCGGTCGAGTGATAATTACAGTGCCCTGTCCATTCAATTTATTTTCTTTCACACTTTTCTAGTGTGGATCCATCCATTTTCAAGCCTGCTTGTGGAGGGAAAGAAAGGCAAACATGCTGGCACTCGGCAGCGAGAAGGACTTGTCAGAAAGGAAGAGAAAGATGCACTTGACTTTAAGTGAATTGCAAAATTTATTGGAATGTCTTCGTTTGGCAAGGTAGTTCATTGTAACCCCCCTGGCTCAGAAGGTCTTCTGAAGTTGAGAAAGAGCAGAGAGAAAAGGGGAAGAGAAGGACACTTAAGGGGCGCTTCATTTTTAGAAGAAAAAAGACACACACGCACAAGCGCGCACGCAGGGCATATGCCGCTTCCCAACTATGCTCCCCGGCTCTCGCAAACCATCCCACGCACGCACGTCGAAACGCTACACCTGGCACAGAAAATGCAGCACGGTGTCGTGAAGACACACGGAGACGATCACGGCAGCGCCTCCAAGGCGTCCGAAGGCTTTGTCGGGTGTTGCGAAAGGCAGAGCAGGGTGACGGAAGAGGAAGGCACGCGCCGGCCACGATCCGGGGGGCTGCTCCTTGCGGCAGTCTCGGTACGAGAATTAAAAGGAGCAGGTGCTATTAGAAGGCGACTTGTGCTACGGAAGCGTTGCGATGCTGAACGTAACCTGTCCCTGCGAGAGCGCCGGCCGGCCGTCCCCAGCAGCACTCGGACCCTGACCTTTGTCCCCACCAGCAAAAGCTGCGGCACCAGTGAGAAACCCGCCCAGCGCGCAGAGTCTGTCAGAGCCGCCAACAGAGACACGATGCACCCGAGGTACGATCGTAAGCTGAGACAGAACAGCGTCCCACCGCAGAACGAGGGCCGGGGGAAGCGATGTGCTTAACAGTGGGAGAAAAACGGAGGATCTAGTACATCAGAATCGAAAGGGACGCCAAACGGACTCGGCTCCGAGGCTGCTCAGACTCCCGCACGCCGTGCTTCCGAGGCCCGCACCTCAGCCGAGGAGGAGGGCAGCAGCGAGCGGACACCCCCACCCAAGCCTCCGTCCATCGCGGGGGACCCGGGGGCCTTTCCCCCCGGGGCCGAGGCTTGGCTCCAGCTGTCTCCTGCCGGACTGAGGCGAAGGCCACTCCCTGGCTGGGCACAGCGGAGGGTGAGCGGGAACTGGCCATGCAAGCCATACAAGGGAGTCCCACAGAGGCAAGCCGCGCTCTTCTTCCCGAAGCCCAACCGCAACCGCAACCCTCTTGCCCCCCAGCCCTGGCAGGAGGGCAGGGAAGAGCAGCCCCCCAAAATCCAAGCACACCCCCCCAAAAGCAGAAGAGCGAGGGCTGCCAGAGGCCGGATCTGCATGCCCGGGGGGCTTTCGAGAGCACCCCTCATCAGCAGAGCAATTAGACTGCCTGTGGGAGGGGGCAACGAGGCACCCCCCCGCCCCACACTGCCCCCCGGCCGGGCCTGTCCGTCTCTCTTCCCAGGAGGGGAGGGGCTGCCCGGGCCCTCAAGTCCGCTTGGCGTGCAGCATCTCGATCAGCAGGTTGTTGCAGGGCACCTCCCCGCTCAGGTGCTTGTGGTACAGGTACTCTTCCGCCTGCATGCTGAGGGCGCGGATGTCGGCCAGCCGGAGCAGCAGCTGCCGGAATTTGTCCATGGTGTGGGGGTAGTGGCAGGCCGTGTACTCCAGCAGGGCTGCGTTGGCTTTCTCCTGGGCGTCCTTCACGAGACTCGAGTTCTCCACGTACTTCACATCTGCAAGACAAACCGGGCCCGTGTGAGCCTGGAGCAAGCGCAGCGCTTGAAAAGGCAGCCGAGAGCGGAGACACGTTTCGGAGCCCCCGGGTGGATCCGGACGCAAGGACCGAGTTCCAGGCACTCGGCACAACAGCGGCTCTCCACTCCCTCTGCCGGTCGGGTGGGGGCACAAGGACTGCCCCCTGCCGGGCTCCGTTAGCCCTTGGCTGGTCTGGCCACGAGGCCACGGCACGTGCGTAAGCACTCCTAGCTCCAGCTGCTCGGGAGGGTGGGAGAAAGTGCTGGCACAGAACACAAACGAATAGTGCTGCTTCAACCGTGAAGAGAAGTCAGCCGGGGGCAAAACCTCACCTGCACATTTCCAGATGCCATTAAAGCTGAAAATCAGAACACCCGAAGAACGCCGGGTCCATCCAGTCCTGCATTCCATGCCCGGACCGGTCAAACAGCCGCTCCGAGGAGCTCCACCAGCAGGGTAGGAGGGCAAGACTCAGTGCCCATGCTCCCCAGCAGCCGGTGCCCATGGGCCCACGGTCCCTGATCCTGGAGGTGGCATCAAGCTCTCCAGGCAAGGAGCCACGGAGAGGGGCCTGCTCCCCGAGAACTGGGCCCTGTCAAGCCGCTCGCAGGGGCAGCCGGCACCAGTTCGTAGAAGCGATTTCCGTCGGGCTGGGTGCAGCGGTGTTCTCTGACCTGCGTCTTCCACCATTTATTTATTTAGGAGACTTCCCTGCCGCCCCATTCGCCATCCGCTTCGGGGGACAACCTGGCTGGCTCCCGCTACTGGGAGACGCGGAGAGGGTTGCTCCTCAATCCCTGTCGCCCCACCACACACAATTTCCTTCACCTCTCTTCCCAAGCTGAGCACCCAACGGTGCAAACACGAGGCCTTGTACCTTCGCAGCCCTTCCCCGCCAAGCGTGTGCCCTGCTTTTCCCTGCACGCGGTTTCAGGTCGAGGGATGACCTTCGGGGCAGATCCTGCACCTTGTCGCTTTCTCACACGCATGCAGGCCGGCTGCAGCCGCTCACGCTCCCCCCGCCCACCCGGACAGAGCTCAGAAGGATTTCTCTCCACGCCGTGCCAAACAAACCTTTAGATTGCCGGATTGAGCTCCGTTTAAGAGCCGGAAGGAGAGGCGAGCTTAATCTGCCCGGCTCAGCCGACATGGAAACCGTGATCCCGGCTGCCTCCGCAGAGCGGCCGCGTGGCGTGCAGAGGCGAGAGAAGCCGGCTGGCAGGTGTGACGACGGAGAGATAACGAGAGCCCTTTGAGCCGCCGTGCTGGCCGAGGTGCCAGCGCCAGAGCCCCACTCGGCCCGAGCGCGGAGCGAGAGGCGCGGAGCCAAGGGGAAGCGTGCTCCCGGGCAGGGGAGAGGGGGCCGTGGGTGGCGGGGTGCGCGGAGAGCGTGTGGTCCCCAGCCCCTGCAGGAAGGGGGCGAGGGAGGGGATGCCGCGCGCCACCGAGAACGGTTCAATGGTCCTGGATGCCATTTCCTCCGTTTTCCCCACGTGCCGGATTTTAATCTGCACGCTCTCCAGGTCAGAGGGTTTTTTCCTGTGCTCTGCCAGCACCACATAAATCAAACATCTTTTCCTCCCGCCAGCCTGAAGGCTGAACTCGATTTCAGAGAAGGCCTCCTTGCGCTGGACAGAGCTAAACTGCAGCGCGGCCCCTGGCACCTGGTGCTAACGGCTCTTACGGAGGGTGGCGAAGGCTTTGAGGGGGCTCGCTTGCGAGAGGGAGGAAAACCCCGAGCGGTGGGTGGTCCGGAAGGAGATGTGTCTCTCTGGGGGAACCCAGAGGCCCACGGGGGTGGTGAGCAAGGCCCGGATGGAGCCTTCCAGAAGGCCTGCCAGTCTCAGAGGGACACAAGTACAGACAAGAAGGCCGAGGAACCGTTCAGCTCGAGAACGGTTCCCCCAGAGAACCATTCCTCCCAACCAGATGGGAGTTTCTTGCCAATACCCGAAGCACGAACGCGATATTGTCGCCTGCCTCCGCCTCTCGGATAATCAGTCTTGTCATTATGGAATCTCTTTCTCTCTACGGTGTTATTGCAATTTTCATATTTAGAAGAGAAAGAATTAGAAGCAAGGGAAAAAAGCTGCTAGAAGTTATGTTGCTAAATGTCAAATCTTCTCTCCCCCGAGTTGGCTCAACAAAAGCGGGTTCATCCAGATGAACTCACCTGGTTTGGAGAAGAACCCCTATTCACGGTTTAATTGAATATTTGAATAATCTTTTCATTCCTGCAAGGCATAAAAGAATGTTGTCCAAATAACAGCGTTGAGCTCGCTTCATTTAGAGACCCGGCGGCGGCTGCAAAGACTCCATCCCTCCACAAAGCCGCCCCTTGCGCAGGAGGAGCTGTGGGGATGGTTTTCTATGCCCTCGAGTGCTCTTTGCATTCAGAGATGCTTTTGTTTGCCTGAGGCTTCTGATAAATTGCAACCACTTAAGGGAATGCAGGCACATAAAAAGCCGCTCTTGCTCCCCTCCCCTGGAGTGGCTACTAGGAGAATGGAAGTCAGACAGGCGCATGCGAGGGTCAATCCATTAAGGCACTATTAAGCCCTTCTGGAGAACAAAGCTAACCTGTGCCGTTCTCATAAATATTGCTGTTTGGAGAAGCCCTAATTTTAATTAAACTTCTTTACCTGCTCAGGAGAGAAAATGTATTTAGACTCAAAGGACGGCCCCTCTTGTGCTTGCCTGCGTGCGTGTGCGGATGTGCCAGGACTGTGCCACAACCGAGAGGGAAAAAACAACAACATGAAAATTCTCTGTTAAGAGCAATTACCGCCTACGCATAATCAGGGGGGCGAATCTTTGCAGCTGAGCCTGGGAAGAGCAAATGCTCTCGGAGCATCGGCGGCACCCGGAGAGGAAAGTTGGCCATGGACACGGATGAGGCACATGCCTGGCAACCTTTTGTTCCTGGCGGGAGGCTTCGGGGAGCCACTGGGTGGAAGCTTCCAACGCAATGCGCAAAGGAGGAAAGAGAGGGGGCTTTGGAGGCATGCACAGCGGTTCTCCGCCTGGCAAAAGGCAGGGGAGAGTCCGGTGCCCTAGGGCTCCAATCAGGAACACAACACGTTAAGAAAAACAGAGTCAAGAGAGCCCCAGAGCATGCACAGAGAGTCTTTCAGCCGAAGTGAGGAGGGCAGAAAAGACGCAGAACTCGGCACAACCAGGATTTCAGCTTTCAGGTTTGGGAAGAAGAAATAACCTGGCAGGGGGTGCTCACATAACCGGCAGAAAATGAAACTGTGTGAAATGGGGGGGGGGCATGGAAATACGTGGGGTGCTTTTGCATACGGGTTGCAAAGCCAGCTCGCCCGGGGCAGCTCAGTGCAGAGTCCCTGCCCGTCCCTCTCTGGCCCCACACAGAAAAGCCGCCTGCAGTATTTCCCACAGGGGCCCAACCCTGACGCAGACGGGCCAGATCCTGCCGCTAGCATTGTCCTGGTGCATCGCAGTGCTGGGCACTTCCAGAAAAAGGAAGGGGCACTGGAGGTGGGAGAGCGTTGCTTCTCCAGGCCGGCTCCCCCGAGGGGTGCGCACGAGACGACCCCCCCCCCCCGGCCTGCTGGTGCAGTTCGTAAGCCAGGCTGCAGGCAGCCAGATGACCATCCAGTCCCCGGCCACAGGCGAGAGGAGAGGAAGCCCTGCATGGGCAGCCACGGAGGTCTGCGAGCGGGGATAGCTTCTAGCGGGGGGGGGGGGGGGGAGGCAAGCCAGCCACGCCTCTCCCGCACAGCCCTGCCTCCCCTCCCAGGCGGTTATTATGTCTAGGGGATAAGCAGCCACCTCGATGTCTCTGTGCCCCAGGCTGGGTGACAATCGCTTGCGATCTGTGGCTGCCAAGGCTGCCCAAATTCCTCTGACGCAAACCCAGCCAGGTGTTCGCCTTCCGTCCCGAAGCAAGAGGCCATCACCCCCACTCCTTGTTTTGCAAAGGCCTATCAGGCTGTTTTGAGCAACAGCCAGTGCAGTACAGCAGGAGAAGAAAACCGGGAAGGGAAGGGGGGGAAGGGGAGGGGAGGGGAGGGAAGGGGAGGGATTGGCAGGGCAGGGCAGGGCAGGGCAGGGCAGGGCAGGGGAAAGATGCTCTGTTTGGTCTTGGCTGATCCAACACAATCCACTCCAAAGGCCATGTGCAAAACACACTGAGGTTGCAAAACGGCAGCACAACTGACAAGACAAGTGTGAACTTGGATGCCAGAACGTCGAGAAAAGAACCGCTCCAACATTCAGACCGGGAGAGAAATCGAGCGTGCGAGTAAAAAGCGGCAGTGCTCAGGGGCAACCTTCGCTAAGCCTGTGCCCCCAGGATCCCTGCTGGCTACGGCCGATGGGTGGACGCCAGGTAGGGAAGGGCGATTCAGAGGGGCAATAGGGGCAGGGCAAGGAAAACCGGAGGGGTGGAGAGGCCAGGAATGGCACCCTGGCCGCAGCCTCCTTTGGCAACCTGCAGAGGGAGCTGGTCTTCACAGCCGGCCCTGCGCAGGCAATTGGGTGGGGAGCTGGGCAGGCCTGGAGGACAGCTTGCTCTGAAAATGAGCAGGGGCAGGAAGGACCGGGCCCGGCTCCTGCTGGAGCAGGCATTTTCTTTTCCTGGTTTCCTTAAATCAGGAACACAGGGGGAGGGGGAGGCGGAGGGGGCAGTTCCTGCCTCGACAGTCCAGCTATTCAGCTTGCCAGCCCAGGCTCTGCAGACGAATTCGCGAGCCAATTCGGGGCCAACACAGAAAGGCCCCTGCAGAGGACGCCCTCCCCCAGAGCTTCCCGGCTCGAGAGTCCCATCGGCGGTGGCTTCTCCCGCTTCTCCGGCCCAAGGCTGGCTCACCCGCACCTGCCCCGAGCCACCTCCTTCCCACCCCTCCACTTACCAAGGCTGAAGAGAATCAGGAACTTCAAGCAGACGAACTCCTGCTTGTCCACCTGGAGGGCATGCAGGTGGAGCACCACCTCCTGCGCTCTCAGCACCAGGTTGTTCAGGATGGAGCCCGCCTGCGTGGCGACTGCGGACATGTCCACCTGGGCAGGAGGAGACAGGCAAGGCTCAGGGGCACGAAACGGGCTTGCGGGGCAGCCTCCGCCGAGAAATGTTCAGGGCACGCGTTTGGACAGAACGACCCCTCTGTCTCCCACCCAGAGGGCAGCAACTCAGGAGGGAGAACATGTTGCTGTTGCTGTTTTTAAATCCCAAAGCTGCGAGGATGCTCTCCAGCCCAAAATCTGATCCTGAACGGAACCCATCCAGATTACGGCTGCTTGTTCCCCCTCACGACGCCCTCTGCCACTGTTTTCATTTCGAAACGAAACGAAGGCTCAAAATGGTCAAAATCAGCTCGTGGCCTGCAAGGGACGCCCAGCCTCTGTGGGGGAAATGTGGCCCCGGCCATCCTGAGGTCGGCCCCCGGACCACCGAGCTTGACTGTAAGAATGGCAAGATCCCGAGTTCGGAATCTGCACTCTTGTTCTCCGCACGTCAAGGATGCGGGAGAAGATGCTGCGGGACTCCGGCTCCCATCTGCAGGGGTGGAGGCGGCTTGGGGCTGGGTCCTGCATGGCTACACGCCGGGATAGCGGGCTGAGTCATCTTTGCTAAGCTAGACAGACGCGGGCCTGCGGCCGGATGGGTGACCACAGGTGGAAGCGGAGCGGCGGCTGGACTTCTCCCCCCCTCCCAGCAGTGCTGCCGTTCTTGCTCCTTATTCCCCGGAGTGACTTTGGACCAGTGACAGACTCTCGACCCATCCTACCTCACAGGGCTGTTGTTGTGAGGATCAGACTGAGAGGAGGAGGAGAATTCTGTAAGTGGCCTTGAGTGTCTTGAAAGTAAATATCATATAAATATAATTTTTTTAAAAGGAGCCTCTGCAGGGCAACCGGGTTCTCCGCCTCTTCTGCACAGCACGTGGTCTAAGGCCTGACTCATACGACCTGGCAGGGCAATTCCTGAACACAGTGCAACGAACATGCAAAGATAACCGCCTCCGGCCCTCATGGTGGGCGTGTCGTGAGCGGAGCCGGCTGGAGCGAGGGTCAGACTAGATGGCCCGGGAGGCCCCTTCTGCCTCGCGCTGTTTCTCTGCTTCCTGCCCCCACACATGCAGGTGCGGGCGTGCCGCCATCCCATACCTCCTGGCCGGTCACCAGCACCATGGTGTGCTCCTTCCCATACTGCACTTGGCGGAAGATGTGGTCCAGCACCAGCAGCTCACTCCAGCAGTTCTGCAGCAGCTTCATCTGGTCTCCCACCTGCGAGGATGAGAAAGGGCGCGGGTGCACAGGAGCTGAGCCCCAGGGTGGATCAAGCCCACGGTGGCCTTCTCTAAGGATGCCCTTCCTCTGGGGGTGCCCCAGCCATGGGGAGCTGGCCTGCCGGATCAAGCAGGGCTGGTCTCCCAACGGGCATTACAGAGACGCCTTCTGCTACACCAAGCGAGCGCCCAAGTAGGTATTTATTGCACCTCATACGGCCTGGCAGCAAAGCTCCTTGAGCTACCGAGTCAGACTGCAGCTGCCCCTTGAGCCAGCACTGTTGACACGGGCCGGCAGGAGCAGCTCTGCAGGGCTTCAGGCAGGCATTGTCAGAGCCCCACCTGGAGTTGCCAACTGGAGACCTTTTGCCTGCAGAACAGGGGCTCTACCTCTGAGCTATTGTTCTCCACCTAAAATAAAGTTAAGGTTCTAGTCCTCTGGATTCTAAAGAAAGGCGGAATTAAACTGGAACAGCAGAAGTCGCCTTCTGTGTGAGGAGGCATGAGCCACCCCAGACCTCGCCTGCAAAGTGAGCCGAGCAAGCGAGTCCACAAGAGGGATGGATTCGAGCAGAAACAAGGGACCTTTTAGCTCTCTTTCCATTCGTTTTGGCAAAGCACTTGGTGGTGGCATTTCAGGGGTGGCTGGCCACTGAGGCGGAGGCCCCAGACCCCCAAATACCGGTAAAGTTTAGCTCAGAGTTCTTACTGCCCGTAAAATCAAGCCTAGAGACAGACACGTCACCCTTTAGAAGCAGGGGGCAGAATCCACAAAAGCCAGAAAGACCTGCGAGAAGCGAAAAGGGGCCCCGGGGAGATGGGAAGCCTTCTCGGGAAATTTAAAGGCCGTGCAAGAACCCATGTGGGGCCGGCGGAGGCCCTGGAGCTGCCTTAGGTGTTGTCCAGGACTGGGGGGGGATCCAGCTTGGCGGAAAGCGGAAACACCCATGCAGGCTAGAGACGTGCGGGCGAACCCAGCAGAACTGCGCTTCCCGAGAGCGCACGGTGTGCCCCCTCCCACCCCCGGGCAGGGGGGCCGCCTCCAGGCTCCGGCAGCCCACCCAGCCACGCAGGCCCCTGGCTTCTGCTTCATGCAAGTCGGCCACCGTTTCCTGTGCACGGGGGAAGGAAACCGCTTGGCAGAAGCGTAAGCACACGGCGAGCAAAGCCAGCCTCGCTCAGCTGCACCTTATCTTCCCCGGGCCGAGACTCTCCCCAGATTCTTCAGTGTCAGCTGGGCGCGTCCCCCGTCCAGCGACGGGAGGGGGGAGAGAGAGAGAGACGCCCCCGTTGCGGCGGCACAAAGGAGGCAGTGTCTCCCTGGACAGATACATTTATACAGCCATCCCTGTTCAGGAATGTGCAGCTGGGAAAGCGGCGGTGGCTGAGCTCACCTGCTGTTCCACAGAGGGGCAAGGATGGCCTCCAGGCCCCTGGCCACGTTTTGGGAGGCAAACGCCCCAGGTCGCAGAATTTGGTGGTGCGGAATAGTCAGGACCGTGTGCTGAGAGACACTCTGGCTCGCTTTCTCACTCTCTCCTTCTCGCGCACACACGCGCGTGCCCAGGTGCATGGCCCTTCCTTACAGGGCCCTTGCAAAAATCGCCGAGATTGTATGTCAGCTGCCCCGGGAGACATCTCACCCCGAAAGGAACGCCCACCGAGGCTGCTCTTCTGGGTCTCTGGGCGAGTCCACCACCCTCGGCTTCCTTGGCGTCCCCAGGGCGTGGCTACCGCCTGTTCAAGGAGGTGGCCAAAGCGGGGAAGCCACGAAACCGGTTCACCGAGGGGAACGCTCACGGGAGCAGCCGCAGAGAGCAGCCTCCAGGGCAGGCGTGTGTGGGAACGGGCTGGGAAGCTTCTAGTGGGCTCGGCCCATCCAGCAGTTTTACCCACATCTTCCACACGAGGGGAGGAGGGGACCCCAAAGCGTCTCAGAGGCGCTTCGTCGGGGCGGGGGGGGGGCAGCCACCCTCCATGTCCGCACACCCGCATTCGGACTCTGGACATCCTGCTTCTGGAGACAAGGCCAAGATGGCAGCCACCCCAAGGACTCAGGAAGCACCCTTTGGAAACAGCAAATCTGTTCCATCATCCTGCGCAGATCAATGCCTGGCAGGCTGCGAGTGCACCAATACAATCGTGTCTCACACACGTGCAAATGGCTCCACCCCGCCATGCAATCGTCCACTGGCAGGTCCTGCCTGGGCTCCCCCGAAGAAGTCAGACTGGCAGCCACATCGCCTCCGATCCGGGACTAGCAGCCACGGACCGCATCCCCCTGCAGAAACTGGCTCTCTCCCCTTTTTGGGCCATCCAAAGCGACAGCCACAGCTGCATCTTGTGCTACGGAATTTTCCAGTTTAACCACAGGGTGAATCCCAGTGCAGGGGCCACTGCATCACCAGCAGGCTAATTTAGGAGCGTCTGACGCATCCCCGAATGCCAACAGCTCTGCCCCGCGCGGCTCAGCATCCGTTGGCCGAGCGAGCCGCTTCGCTCCACCCAGTGCCACAGGCCTGCGGACTCTCCGCAGCTTGCCTGGTAGAGCAATCGACTCACATTTCGATGTTTAAGAGCTGTATGGGAGGGGGGCCAATTTTAAAATCGGTGCAGAGGGGAGCTGGAGGGGCCAGTGGAGATTGTTTAGAGCGTAATCATCACAGCGGGTGGGAAAGAATCGCATTCACAAATCTTGCGGCAGGTGAAACGCTTGCAAATAAATTGCAGCGTAAAGCTTCACGGACTGCCTCAGATGCAGGTTCGCAGATTTATGCGCCCCTGCTGGGAAGGGGGAGCCTGCACGCGCTGAAATAAAAGGGCCCCGAATGCAAAGGGGCAGGAAGCAACCGTTCCTTTGCAGCGGCAGGTTCTCCACGCTGGGCCGGCCACCTCGACCAGGGCCGGCCCGTTTCTGCGCCCTGCCCCAGTGCCTGGGCAGGATGGCGCTCGGTGCCGGGGCTCAAACAGACACGCCCGACTCATTCGCTGGGACAGTGACGAGCAAGCACAGGTAGCAAAGGCAGACAAAATGAAGCACACCAGCTGCTGGGGATGATAGGCAGGAGGGTGCTTGCAGCTCTGCCGTGGGCGAGCCGGTTGGCCGCTGTGGGAACAGAATCGGAACGACGCCCGGTCTGCCATGGCCCGTATGTCGGAGCTCCGCGTGGGGAGCCATTTTCCCACCCCAAAGCATGTCGCATCTGAGCATCGTGTTTAGGGGTATGAGCGCTATCCCCCCGCAGCCCTCGGCCTCTGGAAATCTGCTCCCATCTGCTCGCCACCCCACGGCTGAGCAAAAGCAAACATCTTGGCAGAGCAACAAAGGGGAGCCGAGCGAGCGCATGGTGGATAATGTGCGCAGGCATTGCCCCTCGAGCACCTACGCACCCATGTGCACGCGCACAGGCACACGCGCACCGGGAATGCAGGCTTCCGCTGCCATTATGTGAGGCGCTTCTAATGGAAAGGAGGCAGGTGTGACGCCAGAGCCAGAGTGGCCGCCGAGAGCGGGCGCGATTCCCCCAGCGAACCAACGAAAGGCGGCGAGAAAGCAGGGCTGATAGATGGGGAGCAGAGGGCGGTGGCGGCTTTTATGGGGCTTCTGCACAGAGCAAGTGTGTGTGTGTGTGTGTGTGTGTGTACACACATACACACACAAGGGGGGGCATCAGGGGAGGCCTACAAGCCTTGGCTTTCTCCTTGCAACAGTGAGTAAGTCTGCCCAGAGAGCGTGAAGCCAATGGGCAGCCTTTGAATAAATTTAATTAACCAGCAAGTCAGGGAACAGCCACTACTGCTGGAAAAACTTTGGGTGGGGGGGGGGCCCGCATGAACCAACAAAAAAAACACGGGGGGGGGGGGCAGGCCACCACCATTGCCATTTCACAGACTGGCCAACTGAGGCTGACCTGAAACAGACTGGCTTAAGAGCAGAGCTTGCAGGCCTTTCTGCCCTCTGCGTGCCCCCGAATATATTTCTCAGCTCAGTGCCTTGCACATGTGTCGCGGGCTGGGGGGGGTGGGGGGGACTCTTCTTTCCTCATTCCAGCCAATAGAGATCCATTTCTCCATTGTGCCCAGCGTACAGGCTAGACAACTGAGGCTAGCCGTGTTAGCACACGTACACAACCAGCCACAAAATGACAGCTACATTTTGTGGAATTCGCAGAGCAATCCGAGGTCTAATTAGCACGTTCAAGCTGAGGCAATACAGGAGGTCAGGTAATCTGGTGGGTGCCCTACAGGTGTCATGCACTGCAACTCTCATCAGCCCCAGCAAGCATGGCCAACGGCAACGGATGATGGGAGCTGCGGTCCAGAATATCCCGGGGACAAGCAGTCACAGAGCCCTGCCGAATGGGAGGGATCTGAAGCTCTGATCCTTTAGCGAGTGGGTCATCATTTTATTCATGCTGTTAGCCATCCAGAGACATTAGTAATTGGACGGCATACAAACTTTATAAATAAATAGATACTCCTTCCACATTGAGGATGTGGCCAAGGCTAATAAAAAGTCAGACACTTCCTTGCAAGAAGCTGCACACCCTTTTGGCCCCTCAAACTGCCTCCCCCAAGCCCCCAGGCCTGAATTATTGAGCCAGAACATGTGCTGAGCTTCACGTCAGAGTCACCAGGAGCACAGTCAACAAGGCGCTAAACCCACAGTGCCAACAACTGCCACACAAGTCTTTCAAGACAGACACACCAAGAACAACTTCTGTGAAGCCAGCCAGGGACACAGGAGGTATGCAGGATCAGACCCCTGGGCTAGCTTCCAAGAGCCAACGAGAGGGCAGAGCTGGGGCATGGGTGACCCGGGTTCAAGTCTGCACTCGGCCCTGGAGCTCACTGGCCCTGCCGGTGACTCTCAGCCTATCCTACCTCACAGGGTTGTGGTGAGGATACAGTGCAGGGGAAGAGGACGGGGTACTGGCTTCCTTGCGGCCAGCCAGGTAAGCGGGACCAGGTGCCAAGTGGGACCAAGCAGAAGCCGCT